ACCCTATCCGCCAACTGAAAAATATAGCCTCGAAACTCATTATGGGGAGATGCGAACGCCTGGAAAACGTGATGGGGCAGCGTGTAGGTGGACGCCCGAGGTGAAGAAATGATGGAAATGATGGATGAACTGGACCCCCAGCTGCTAAGCGTGGGTGACACCCTAACCTTTGACACCATCCAAGGCGGACAATGGTTCCACAGTCATGAGGACTTAACCCTATGTTCGATTAGTATCTAAACCTGGTGGAAAATTGGAGAGTGGAGGAGAACCTCACCAGCTCGGACCACAACAGAATAACTTATGGAATTGGCTTGCAAAAGTCACGGAGGAACAGGCGCGTTTAAGGGAAAGCGCGACCTGTGGAGAACGACAGGATCCTCCGTTCACTCTTATCGAACTTAAGACGGCGGTCAAGTCGTTCAATCCCAAGAAGAAAATGCACCGGGAGCAGACGGGTTTACAGCTGACATCTTCAGCCATGCCATCACAAATGAACCCGCGTTATTCCTCAACTTGGTAAACAGGTGCCTGGTACTTAAACATTTCCCAATGATATGGAAAGAGGCGACCGTCGTCGCTCTGACGAAACCAGGTAAAGAGAGCTATGCTCCTCCCAAATAATATAGGCCTATCGGACTCCTCCCTGTTTTAGGCAAAATGCTGTAGAAAATGATAAGGGCTAGGCTCTAGTACCATCTTCATCCACGTATTAGCGATCACCGATATGGGTTTATGCCCCAGAGCTGTGAAGACGCCTTCTATACCCTCGTTCAACATATACGATCCAAGTTAGACGAAAAATTAATAGTAACTCTCGTGTCTTTAGATATAGAGGGCGCTTTCAACAGCGCCTGAAGGCTGGCAATCAAAATGCGCCTTGTCGAATAAAACTACGGTATTAAATAGCTTAAGAAATAATGTAAATTAATGTAATAAATAATTAGAAAAAAATGTTGGAAACCACTTCCTATGTAAAAATATAAATAAATTATTCTTATATAAATTATTTATATAAGGAAATTAATTATGTAAGTACCTATGAAATAGTATAATATAGAAACAAATGTCAACCCTGTAAACATGTAAATATGTATAAATAATAAAGAAATTTATAACAAAGAGCAGAGACCCAGTGCAGGGTATGAGATAGAGAAAGAACAAGGTTGAAAGTATAAGAAATGCGAGAAAGTAATGAAAGAATATAGTTGGAAAACGACTCCAAAATATAAATATTGGTCATGCTAGGGAAGGCAGTAGATACGCTGCGATGGCGGGTGCCTGCAATATAAAAAAAAAGTTTGACCGTGGCAGCGTCATGCTTATGCAATCAATATCAGGTCCTTACGGCCTTACAGAAAACTGTTTTCAAGCATTTCTTTCGTTGGTTTGTACTGAGCGGGTTTTTTTAAATGAGCCCTAAGTGGTGGATGGAGGGTCTAAACATGATAGTGAACTTGTGTCTCTTGAGTTGCAAGCTTTCAGTGGCAGCGGCAGTGATCAGTCTGCTTGTTTTCACCCTATACCATAAAAAACAGTTTGTGTGACCTGAAATTAGTAGATTAAATTATAAGTTATGTAGCCAATGAATAAATAATAATAATAGACGGCTGGATCAAGGGTCTGATGGCAAGGCAGTTCTCCTTGACACGGCCCGTATAGAGAGGAGGTTTCCGTCTTTGGATTCCTAACGACCGGTGTCTTGGTTCCTGTACCCGAAGTCGGTGGTCTACTATTTTTTATATTTTTAAATGTATTTTTTTTCTAATTAAAAATGTAGTAAATATTTATATATAATGTAATAAAGAGAATAATAATAATATACCTCACACATCTCACAAACGGGGGTCTGATCCAAAACTAAACAGAGCTTGTACTATAGTGACCAGACTGCTGAAAAACGTACTTATATATATTTTAAATACATACATATTATAGATAAATTACACCCAGACACAGAACAAATGATCGTGCTCATGACACAATATTTGTCCTGTGTGAGAATCGAACCCACACCTTCGGCTTAGCAGTCAGGGTCATTCACCACTAGACCAACAGATCCGTCAATTGGTTTTATTTTTTATTAATTTATTCTTTATTCCCAAACAACTGTCGCAAAGGTGGACTTTGACATTTTCTCCCAGTCGACCTTAGACTGGACTGGAACTTACCTTTCTCGAGTAGATGCATAGAAGTAATTAAATGCAATTTTATGAAAAATTAGTAAGTGCGGTCATTAACGCGATTACGTAATAGGTGATGCGTATGATTGATTTGCCTTCCGAATTTCAGGCTGACTGGATTAGTGATGCAATGTTATTTTACTTATATCATGGCATGTCCGTGTGGTGACGTATTAAGAATACAGAGGTTCACCACCACTATTTATCCCGTGGGTGACGTAAGAGCCGACTAAGGGAGCAAACTACGCAGGACAATAATACTGCACAGAGCAGGAAAACTTGAAATAAATCTTAAACCAACCCGTCTGGCCAGCGTGGTATAATAGGCCAAACCTCCTATGTCCAGCAGTAGACTATTAAGGGCTGTTGATGATGATGATGATGACGATCACGAAACGTGAAAGTTTGAACATTTATATGTAGTTAAATAGTTACACCTGAAATTTCTTCTAACGATTACACAACGAGTTACAGTGTAATTGCTAATCCGCATCAGGCATGGAACGTTCTCGCGCCAATTACATACTATTTACTCGCAATTGGCGCCCGCCAGGCATCTTCACCTAGCCTTTTATTTTTTGTTTCGCGTATAAAACTCCTTGGGTCGTCACTACACCGGTGTTTGATGTAGGGCGGTGTGCCAGAATCAGACCGACTAAAACCACACGGTGTACCATCCTGTGCCTTAAATAGGAAATATCCGGGAACCGCTCTATTCACCTAACCCAGATCGAGGGATCCTTCTTTTGTATTGAAGGATCATAACATCAGTTCTTCCACAATACTTTAGACCACATACATATAGATATATGCCTACATCCTTTAAGAGTATTTCCTATTTAGCTCTCAGTTTGCCCCAAACTAAACCTGAAAGTAACCATACATTAAGACAGTATTTTTTCTCTTACTTAAACAACGTGTAACCGCGATCTTCTATAATACGGAATTAATTTTTCCAATTATTAGAAATTTTGAAGAAGATTTTGTGAAAAAAAATAATCTTGGGAATGCCTGATCAATAGTATCAATCAAGACACTTTAAAAAAATGTTTACTGTTTACTTATTTACTTAATTTTCTTCTTAAATATTGACTGAGTTGTCAAAAAAGTTGTTGTGAGATGTTGAGAAAATAAAAAAATTTAGTTAAAGGAATTATTAATATTATTAACACACGGGGAACAGTCAGCTGGCAAATAATGAGTGAAGTCTAACGTCGCGTCGGTTGAATTTACCATGTAGGTGTAATATTTACACACCTTACTCGGCCGCCCGTCCCCTGCATATTACATCAGTCTACTTTACGGCCTCTATTAAAGACTGTATGTACCTTACCTATACAGTGAGTATAATTTCATTACTTAATAATTATGTTCGTAGAAAGAGAACGTGCTGTCGTTTGAATTTGCCTATTATTTCTACACATATATACAAAAATTAAGTAATTAATATAGCGATACAAAAGATTTATCAGATGAAAATTATAATCTTAATATTGTAGGTTATCACAATACCTACTTGTTGTATTAATAACAACAATCAAATATATTTTTGTTTATTTTGATTTGGTTATTATAAAAGTAATCAAGATAAGATTACGATTTGTTTTAAAAATAATAATACATAGATAATGGTAGATAATGCCATGTGTCATTAAGTCTGCCTCGTGCAATGTAAATTCAGAAAAGTTAAATTAATAAAACAATAAAACAAACATTAAATAAAATCCACAGATACTAGAATTATAAAACAGAAATATACTAGAATTATTTTCAATATTACATACTACGAGTATTTTCATACAGTCCATACAGTACTATTTTCGCTAGATTTTAGATATTATTAAGAAATGTAAAGGGAATGTGACGTGAAAAGTAATTTAGTTTTACATTTAGTGTTGCATTTACATAATTTAATTGTAAATAAGGACGATCTATTTCATAGATTTGATTATGCCTTTCTCTGCTCAGGTATGCTAGTTTCCTCACAGTTAAAACCGTCAAACTTAGGCATATGCTGCCACTTTAACTGACGTTAACTTGACTAACATTGACTTTACTTAAAGGTGAACATTAAGATAATCAGCACTTCGTCACACTATCATTCATCTATAAATTGAATATATTGGAAGCTATCAACAAAGTAGGTACATTTAAAATTCTACATGAAATACATTTATAATAACCAGAACAGCCGTTTTATTTCTTTTCTTATTCTAAGTTAAATATTTCTACCTGAGCTCCAATTAACTATTCAATCAATTTAAGTTCACAAAAACCAAATGAAAAACTTTGTTCTTTAGAGAACGCAATCTAAAACGAAATTATAAAAAAATGAGAATTACGTAATCACGATTGATTACTAAAGAATTTGTACATTAATAACTGTAATAAAAAAAAAATGGAAAATGAAAATAATCATTCTACCTTTAGAAGTCAGCCAAAGTTTCGGTAATATGTTTTTATTTAAGGTTTCTTTGAGTGAAACTTTTAAGTCTTTCAGAAACCTACGTGACAAAAATAAATATAAATAATGGATCAAGAACAATGGCCAACTAAATCGACTAAAAGTATCATAATTGACACAGTTCATCATTAATATTCTCATTCCACTCACTATCGACAACGATAAAGATTGTAATGTACCAGATAAAGCTGTGACATTCTGAAATATGTAGTTACAAACAAAGTTGAAACGAACTTCAATTATAAAGGTATCCCATTAAAATTTACTGTCAGACGAACTATTTTTAAATTGAAATACCTACATATTTCATCAAAGGAGCTATTTTTAATATTGTATTATTAAGTTCATTTCTATTACGACTTACGGAATAATTTGTCGTGAGCATTAGCATAGCGTGCGCGGCGTGGCGTTTGGTAGCAGTGTATGGACAGACGCCGCCCGCCCGACCTAGATCGAGTTCGCTCGATGCCGGCCGAGCGTTCGTCGCCGCCCGCCCAGAATAGACGCAGCATGTGCGTCTGCCGCGACACACGTCCCGCGCGCCCGCACAACGCACGCACGAACCGCGCAAACCGCACGAAATATACCCATTTCATAAATCTTTTAGTAACAAATTAACGCAAAATTAAACCTTCCAGAATGTAACCGTGTTGTGAAGCTCAGAGTTTACCTGTAACTTATAGTTGAAAATATTAATAAATGTAGTTAAAGTGAAAGTATTTAGTTAGTGTATTTATTGGGCTTTGAAATCGTAGTGGCCTTCCTCATTATCTCGCACCCGGGAAGCTTTCTGTTGTAAATTCTTTATCTGCCATAGATATCTGTATTAGCGTATCTTAGAGTTATATATTTTTTGTGATGTATAGTGAACTGCCTTACTTATAACAAAACATAGTAACGATGTGCCTTATCCTTGTAATATTTGCGTTATTTACGACGGTCACATGTGAAATGCAATAATATTTGAGTTTAGCGCGTGAGTCACCGACACAGACATGCAGAGTCTTACGTTTGTACTGGTTTGTGGACTACTGTTTGTGCCAGAACCGGTTCCTGCCTGGAAAGCCGACACGTAAGTATATGAATGCTATATTTTGTAATCTAGGTTCTAATACAAGAATTCTAGGTTTTAACATTTATTCCCAAGGTGGCAAAAAAGTATACAAAATTCGCAACACATATTTCTGTCACTCACACGTCACCACTTTAACTACTGCAGCTTTGATGACTCTAATTGAGCTCCAAAAATTATTAAACGCTATCGTATATTATATTATTTCTGTGGACAAGGAGATAATATTTATTAATTATGTTATGTAATTATCTTATGAGAAAGTTTAGTATCCCCATTCATCTATGTGTGTTTACTAATTTACAAGAACTTTTAGACGTGAACACTGGTGAACTTTGGCCTAAGATAAGTTCGACATAATAATATTCCTTTTATTAGATTTAGTATAAAGGAAAGTTAACAAAAGAAACTTCATAAGTGTAATTCCGCTTACTACGTACACTTATATGCTAGTGCAATGTCTAATGATATTTATCAAAAAACATTCTTATTCTATTATTTATTGAAAAAGTTTAAGACCCATTTTAAGGACCTTCTACATCCGTTAAATATTTATTAAGATGTTTTTTAAGAATCTACGTGTCGTGAAAATATATCTTTATGTAATAAACTTAAAAAAATACATTCTAAATTTCTATAGTGTTAGTATTGCGCGATATTTCTGAAATATTACAAAACTATTGTACTTGTATTTTAAGAAATATTAGTATACGTATGATATAGTACTTTAGACTTTATATATTATAATAACAACAAAGTGAAAGGTGAACCGCCGTTAGAAGCAAATACCCGAAAATAAAATCCAATACAATTATTTTCAAGTTTTTATATTAGCTCGTCGGCTACTCTGAACTATTCAAGTTATTAGGTATTAAAGTAGTTTACTATGTACGGAACCTTTAGAAGTAGAATAATTTTTCTACTCGTAAAGCTGAAGATAGCTATACTTGAAAGTATTCAATCGTTAATCTTCCTTCAACACTGGTGGTATTAGCTTACGTCCATTAAATAATAATAATGTTTTAAATTAGGCACCTAATAGGCGACTTACACTATATTCATTAAACCGCCGGCGCCGCATGATGATCGAAACAATTTAAACCCAAACAACCTTAAATTGTAAATCACATCGGCAAGTACGTTAACATTAAGGGATTTGCGTGGGTTACCTCGATTCGATAATAATGACGTTTTAAATGAGTTGCGACTTTACACTACATTTATTGAACCGCAGCTTGATGTACGAAACGACTTAAACCCAAACAACCTTAAATTATAAAACACATCGGCAAGTACGTTAACATTTACGGAATTTTCGAATTGACGCGCATAATGTACCTAAACGTGTAATAACTTCCATATGTACATTCGCGTCTTTTATCCCTGAAAGGGTAAGCAGACACGTATGAAACGCACACACTTTGTCGCCTATAATTTTAGTCCCTCTTATGTAATAGGGCCCCCTATTGGCATCAACTGGGCACATATATCTAAATAAACATACTTATATATTTCTAAATACATACATATTGTAGGAAAATTACACCCAGTCAGAAAAATTAAAACAAGCAAGTTGAATCAAGTAATGTCTTACTTATACTGCAGAATAATTTCTTTCATCGTAACTGATCAATTAATACCGGGATATTTATTTGATGTTTACAGAAGTTTTATAATTCATTCCCGAAGTATTACGGATTATATTATTTATCTTATGTTTATTAGCCTAAATGCCTGGATAGTAGTTATGTCTAATTTATTTGATGTTTAGAGATGTTTTATCCTTCATTCCCGAAGTATTAAGGATTATATTATTTATCTGATGTTGATTAGCCTAGATGCCTGGACAGTAGTTATGTCTAATGGCGTACACAGGCTGGTCAGCTTTTGTCCACTCGCTTTATGTACAATTTTGAAACGTGTAATATTCCAATAGGAAACTAGTTTTTACATCAACAAACTGTTGAACCAATACATGTTCCATATAGAAGCATCATAAAACAATTTTAGAACTTTAATAAACATCCATGTGTGTAATTGTACACGCAAACGTAATAATAACCAATGTTTTTATTACTTAGGGCTTTTTATTCTGTGTCAATATTAAATATTGAACTGTCTGGTGTGTGTATCAGTAGATTTATTGTGCCTATTTCGACACTTTGTATTGGAAACCAAATTTCAAGTAAAATATGTAAAAATAACGATGGATCGTGATAACACCGTAGTTGTATTTGCTTTTTTGTAGTTTTTAGGTGAAATGAGTATTCAAAATTTTGACTTTCAGTTCCAACATTCATAAGTGTCGCATTGTTTCCAATTTAGTGCTAAAAGTACTAGTAAATAAATGCCATCAGATAGTCATCTCATCAACGTTATCATCGTTATTTTAAAAATATTAAAAATGATAATCAAATCCCAAAGGGGAAGATCGGTAAGCTCTTATTTATTGTGTTTAATCCTGGGATTTTTTCTTCCTGAAGGTTTAAAACCTTCAATTTATGTTTTATGAAACATTTACACTACGTAGCTCCCAACTTGATTAGTTACGTTACGTGTAAAGTGACAGACTTGTGTTCGATGCCAAACAGCGACCATTTTCACCGTTAAATGTTTGTAGTGACTATTTATAGCACCTAACGTTTACATACTTAATATTTTAGCTCCGTACGTATACTGTATTGAATGAAGCATTCAATTTTTGGATAAGTAGAATAAAAATGTAAGTCTTTGCCAAAACTTTCTTGTTACGAAATTGTCGATTACGAATATATAACGAATATAGAATATAAAAAAAATATGAAATGAATGGAAATTGTTGTGACCGATTCAAATCACCATACAAACCTAAATCTTGTAACATTATAGAACTAGGTCGTGGTACGAGTTTAAAGTGCAATTTTCCAATGGCGAAGACGGACTTTTGGTATTACTGTATTTGTCGTATTTCGTTACTTCATCGATTCAGATGTCTTTTATAAAGTTCAAATGTTTTATGCAAGAACATACCTAAGCAAATAGAAAATATCTACATAATCCAGTAAGTACTGGCGTTTAGCCATCTCAGTCAGTCAGTCATAGATGGCTGTCTTTTTTCACAGAACACGTTGATGTTCTCTTTGTGTCTCTTCTCTCTGATCGACTCAGTTACAACCATCTCTTTGTGGAGTTGATGTACACACAGTACACAAACAAATGGTTAGATGGGCATGTAACACAGGGAAATACGCATTTATACGTGGACTAGTGTATGTGTGTATTATATGTGTATTATAGAACTTAGATCGTGTTCGAATAGCAAGCAACAGCGAACAGTTTAGTTATAATCACCAACATTGCAAAATCGTTTTGTTTTGGCTACTTTATTTATTTTGTTTTAAGTATCACTCACATTTTTTTGTAGTACGAGTATAGCTTGTAAAAATAGTAAACTGTCAAGCCTACCTACCTACTTAAAAAGTGAATTTCTATAAAGTTCCATAGAGTTATCTAAAGAGTTCTATAAAGAAGAACAAAGATGAACGCCTTTTTCTACAATTCACAGTAAGTGAACTATCGTGAAATCAACATCTTAGCTGGTAGAATTATTTGCTGAGCTGTGACATTGATTTGGTTCCGGATAGTTTGCAGAGTAACGCCATATATCATTGCCGTGATATGGATGGACGCGAACGGTTTCGCTGTATGTGTGGCTACCAACTCTTTGTACCGACGATGAGCATCCGCATCACATTTTAACGGTCTTCTCTAAGACTCCTGACTCCGCATAATGGTCGACCCAAAGCTGCACAGTTGTCCTCTATAATCATTGACAACATAATTTAATCGTGATGTATTTTATGTAGAGTCAACCACATAAAAAATAGCAACTTCACTAATTGATTTTTTTTTGCTCGTGCAAAACAATTAGTTCTGCTCTTATCAAAGTAGGGCCATGTTTCAATGTGTAATTTAGAACAAATTGATAGTAAGGCAAACAGTTATCAAAACATTAGCAAAGCGCATGCGCACCTAAATTCAGTAGGTACAAACAAAATTACTAATATCATTTAACATTGAAAATTAGGGTAGGTAGTATAGATTAAAACATACCCACTTCGCAATCGTCGTTCATTACTTACCTAAGTACGATTGAGTTAAGTTTTAATACTGATTTAAGTTGACATCGGCATGGTGACCTCTAGACCACATCAACTCATATTAGGGTTTGTGAAAATTCCGGTCATATACTAATATCAAGGTTTTTAAATTATTACTAGAGAAATTGAAACTAATAATATAATAAAAATATATACCTCACACATCACACACACGGCCGTCTGATCCCAAACTAGGCAGAGCCTGTACTATGGTAACCAGACTGCTGATAAACATACTCACATATTTTTAAATGCATACATATTATAGATAAATTACACCCAGACACAGAGTAAATGACCGTGCTCATCACACAATATTTGTCCTGGGTGGGAATCGAACCCACGACCTCCGGTTTAGCAGTCAGGGTCACTAACCACTAGACCAACAGGCCCGTCAATTCAATATCGCAGAATGATTTAAAAATAATAATAATTTGCAAATGTATGGGTGAATAAACGAGTTATTTACAATTCATACACATGTAAACGTATAATAATATACTTACCAGAATAACACACACATTTAAACCTGATCAGGTATCTCCTATGCCATGAGTACCACAGCCACTTTCCACACTTAGACATAAAACGAGACTTAAAAGTCATTCTGAAACTTTCCTCACTCTGATGAAGCAAAAAGGGGAATCTTGATTGACCAAGTCTACCTGGACTAATTTGATAAACAGTTGTTACACTTCTAAACACATGAAAAAGCTTTTTCAATAAAAGACTATGAATGAAACTGAAATAACGATGTCATTTATTCAAAAAACTTATCAGATTATATGAAAATATTCGATAACGAATTTATCTCTCTAGATAGCTATTTCGATAACTTCGACAAATACCCACAACGCTGCTACATTTAATATATCAATCGATTACGATATTTTTATCGCGTTGCCGTTACTTTCAAACTGAGGTCGTAAAGAGGATCATTCTTTTCAGTTACTCCCGAAATAGATATTTATCTATAATTTTTCATAGGATAGACAATTTATTGGATACGTCTTACTGTAAATAAAAACAGTGCGAGAATTTTTGTTATGACAAAATGTATTTCCTATAATTTTTTGATTATGTTTAGTGTTACAAATGGGGGTTAATAAAGCTAACTTCGTTCTAACACAACGTAATCAAACTTTAATACTGATACTGATACATTTAGCTTTAGATAATGACTCTTTTATATTGACTCTGACTGATAATGCTCAATACATTACATACTTATCAAGAGGGCTTGATTTTGTTTACTAGACACTTTGCAAATGGTTTTTGTATTGATATTGTTCGAAACGAAATTATTTTAAATAACCACTTGTTTGGTGAAGAACCTCTCCTACCGAAGAACGCTACGAAGAGCACTTAATAGTGCTATGTATTGTCTATGTTTTTTTTTTACCTTTTACAAAAACGTATTTGTTCTGTCGCTAGGATATAAAGATGTTAAGTATTACCTGTTAATAACGTTGTTTATAACTAAGCTATTGACTGTACTGTAACGAAATAGGTGAGATGTACCTATTGCAACTATATATATATATATGCATCTATATATATATATACATACATATATATTATATATATACATTACAATGACGTGTTTTTATTGCAGTGTAAAACTATGGGCTAGAGCGCTTGGCGATGAATTGTGGAAGTTGAGTGAAGCCCTCACAAAGTCGGATAAAATTAAAATCGTGAGTAAAGCTCCAGATGCAGTGAATACCCAATTTTAGTAGCATGACACATTTATCGTCACGCATTTTCTAAACAAGTATTAATTTGTGTGGTAGTCCTTGAACAGCGATTTAACTATACTAAGTAAAAATTTTATTTATTTTATCACCCTGCCTACTATCATTACAGGTAAATGTAATGATAGAGTGGATACCTTATATTGTTTAAATTATTTCATCTTTTGTTTTACAAATGCACAAAAAAGGAATACTACAAAAATAACGCACAAGACACTTTGCGAGTAGACTCAATTGCAGGAAAAAATATCAAGTTCTTGGTGAACTAATTAATACTCGTATTAAGTAATGAAGAAGGATTATCATGTAATTAATGAATAGATTCATACTCCTTCGAAATATAGTATTATTATTATAATTCCATATTTTAGTTATTTTTTTACAATTCTATCTTTTTAACAGAAATACAAACAAATGAATGCGAGCGTAAAAAAGAAGGATGGCAAACAAATATTGGAGTCTTCACTACGTTCGGTAAGCACAATGCTTACTCGAAAAATCAATGCCGTCAAGGTAAGCCATTGTAGTTATTCCTAACAGCTTCATGTATAAGCGATATACCTTTACCTTGTATGCTTTTATTAAATAAGCATCAGGATGGAACATACGATAGGATTGCTGCGTGAAAATGAAAATATATACGGTATTACTCGCTTTTAAACTATAGCGTTTCTTTATATATGTTTAATACATACATACATACCTTAAATATAATATAAAAATTACATCAAGTTTTCACGTCATATTATTCAAACATAATTTAAAAAAAACTGTGAAATTAATATATATAAAGGTAATATTATCATATTGTGGATACTGCTATTATTTAATATTTTGTAGGTACCTGGTAAGAAATTGAAATAAATATTAATATCGTGATGATTACTACAAAACCTAAATTGATGTATTTAACCTGCAAAACATATTTATCCTATTATTAATTATACTTAGTCACTTCATAGTATGTGGTCTTTATGCAAACATAATTATTATACATATTCCTTCTGGTATTATTATAAAATCAACATTAGCGACTTAAAACTTAAAGTGATATAAAACTCACAATATTTATTTTTAATTGTAGTGCATTCATGCGACGGCTGAGAGCTTGGCACAAAAATTTAACTACACGGACAAAATGCCCAAAGATTTTCAATATTGTTCAGCAAAATATTCCAGCTTTGAATATGCAGACCCTGACGATGAACCCGAGAAAGGGCCAGACTTTGAAATACCCAAATATGTGAAGAATGACACTAGTCATTATATGAATATTTCTCTGGAGAGGGATTCACACTTTTATGATATAAGTGTCAATACAAATACAAGCTGTGTACATGTACCGACTAATATATTTGATGGAGGTAAATTGTTTTTTTTTTAGTATGAAGTAGGTTTTAAGGCAGATATTGAAGCTGTTAAGCTTTTTCATCTAATTATTTCCTTAAGTGTAATTTGATAGTCAGCTATAAAATAACTAACTAAATAGTAAGAACTTAACTTAAACTAATACCATTAGGAACATTATTCGAGGGCTCAGAATTAACAACAAGTTAAGTAATAGTATGTATAAAAAAATCTTGTATATCAACGCTATGTTAAAAACTAAAATAAAACTGAAAAGACCCGGTCATTAAAAATACATTCCAATTTTTAAACATCCAACCGATTGTGCTGTTTGTTTGAACTGAAATTGATTCATCAGGCCACTTGAAATTTAGAACTATATATTTTCAGTTATATTTTTTATTTTTATTTTAGCATTGTATTGCATTGCATTATATTTTAGAAATAAATAGATTTTTCTAGTCGGACTCTAACGGGACTGAAGCAATAACTTTAGGGATAATGACAAATGTAAATTTGTTCCTAATTAGCGAGGATATTGCAAAACGGATCAACAAAAAATCGTCTAGCCAAGACTGACCGATCTTTTTCTTTATCAGAAAAATAGCTAGTTACTTAAGAGATCATAATAAATAAACCTGTATTTGGAAGCCTATGTTCCGATGAGGTAAAAGCCTCACATCCACAGCCTTTACTAGTCTATAGCACTGCTGGAAATATGCCTCTCCTTAGAAAGGAGATTTTAGACTACTATACCACGCTGGCCCGACGGGTTGGTATAGCGTTTCTGTCAAGTTTTCCTTCTCTTTGCAGTGTTGTTGTCCTGCGTAGTTTTGATCCCTTAGTGGCTCTTAAGACACCCACGGAACAAATAAGGGTGGTGACACTCCGCATTCTTAATCCGTCACCCAAGGGCCAAATACAATTATTATATAGCTATTTTCGCATATCAAACAAAAAACCATATATTAAATTCCATAATGTTTCAGAAAACCATACATTAAATTCCATAATGTGGTCAAAAGAATTAAACGATATCTTTACAAAAAATTATAAGTCTGACCCATCGCTCTCGTGGCAATACTTTGGTAGTTCGCATGGAATATTGCGATTTTATCCCGGGATGCCATGGAATTTCCAACACACAGATACATACGATTGCCGTGTCAAATCATGGTATATTGAAGCTGCTACTTGTTCCAAAGACATGATCATCTTGTTTGATGTCTCTGGTTCGATGACTGGGTTCAAGAATTACGTGGCTCGGAGAACGCTGCAATCAATTTTAGACACGTTGTCAAACAACGACTATGTTAATGTTTACACATTTAAAAATCAAACTCATGTTGTTGTGGAATGTTTTGTTGGACTTGTGCAAGCAACCCCTGAGAACTTGAAAACTTTGTTGGATACACTTACACCAACAGATAATGGGAAAAAACATAAAGTACCATTGGAAGGTAATGCAAACTTAACTGAGGCTTACATGAAAGCTTTTACGACACTGAGAGAGGTAGGTGAACTGCTTATTACTTTCTATTAAGTATCATATTTCCGCACTTTTCTTAATTTGATTTGCGTTTAACGCCATATGTATAATTGTAAAGGGTTTTATTTGGATTCTTTAAGTAGAAGTAGAGGTTCATAGAAAAGTTTACGACATGCACGTTAAAATTTTTAACCACCACATAATTTATTACCTCAATATGTAAATATTTTAAAACCGATAAAATAAAACCGATAGTTCATTACTTACTCTATTTTTTTCAATGTCTCCAACATTTATATATTATTAATTAAAAAATTGTCGTTGTAAGAAGTATTTCAAACTTTAAACTGATCCGTAAGCAACAATAAAAGAGCATAGATAATTCTCTTCACATATTAATATTTAAATAGATAAATAATATAATACGCTATTATTTTCTGAACTGATTTTTTGAAAGTGATTGTATTCAGTTTTTTACACTTTTATTTAGAGAAGAGCACACTGTGACGTTAGCAGTACCCAGGGTTGTAATCAACTGGTCATGCTGATCACGGACTACGTACCAGGCAACCTCACAGAGGTGTTTGATACCTACAACAGAGAGGTGGTTAACAATAAAACGTATACCCCCGTTAGAGTGTTTACTTACCTTATCGGAAAAGAGGTCACCAATGTTCGGGAGATTCAGTGGATGGCGTGTTTAAACAGAGGTAAATTTAAAAATATAGTATTGTTTTACATTTAACATAAACTGACTGCACGGATGGCGTAGTGGTTTAAGCGTTCACCACGCTGCTTCTTACTGAGCTGAGCGTTGTGGGTTCGATTCCCACATAGGACAACACATTTTGTGATTCACAAATTGTTGTGCCGAGTCTGTGTGCTCTGTGTGTCCGTTTCAGGTATATTTGTAAAGTCACAGGATTGTATTCTTGTTGTGGGAGATGTAATTTTAAAGAATTAAAAAATCACACACACCAAATTTTGCACACACAACGTCAGAAATACGGATTATAAAAATTAAAAATACCATAAGCTTATATTAAGAAAAAGTTTTGCTTTTGCGGGATACTTGAATTGATCGAGATAATCTACTTCAATACAAGTGTAGCCTCTAGCAAAAGTTAGGTCTATATAAAGACATACAGCCCGGTTACCTTTACCCATCAACATATATGTAAAATTCGTTGATTTACTTTTGATTCATTGATTAACATTGATTAACTGTTGCTTAAAAAAGGATACAAAACTAAAAAGGGTTGCCAAAGATATTCCTCGAAATCCTTCCAATCCTTTTTTAATTATTAGGTACACAGTAGAATACAATCCATGATTATATTATAAATGTAAAAGCTAGTTTGTTTGTTTGTTACGCTTTCACGCCTAAACCACCAAACCGACACGCGTTGTGTCGTTATTTTTACCTAAAAGCAGAAAAATATACATTATAATGTCTGTTTTCGATTAGGTTATTTCGTGCATATTCATTCGGTAGAAGAAGTTCAGCAGCAGGTACTGAAGTACATCAACGTGATCGCCCGCCCCATGATCCTGGAAGACAAAGAGCCACCTCCGACGTGGACGCACGCTAATATTGACTCTACGGTAACTTAACAATTTTCGTAATTATCGACGTTGCGTAAAATTTAAGATTCTAGAAAGTATTAATTAATATTTTTGTGATGAAAAGTTTCGTGGCTGGTATTCATGATAATAAAATAAAAATATCCTTTATATAAATAGGTCTACTCAGGTGCTGACAGAGCAGTAACCTCTTGAGAGAGGTCCCCGGCCGGATCCAAAGCAAGCAGGGTCTACCCGAAATACACACGTGTGAAAACCGTTTCTCATTTATAAATAAGAATATTATATCATAGTTGTATAGGTATCTGTTCAATAAACATAAGAGATGAAAAGATTATAAACATGATAAAAATAAAACTGAACAAAGAACGTCTTATTTACTATGCACCAATGCTCTCGTTCTATTTAAGCTGAATTAAAAAGTCTGCCCAACTCCTTAAGGCGACCCAACTAATCGATGCACCATTATACATCTAACACAAATTTTATTGTTATTGTCTTATAATTACTTTTAGTATTAAACCACTGCCTGTTCCGCTAGTATCGAGTAAAACTTCAAGCTGAAATTCATTTTTAAAACTTTATCTTTTAATTTCTTTTGGTAGCGTACAACAGAGTGGAAAGTAAGTGGTGATATCAGTAAACCCGACGAAGACAAATTAGTGACGTCAGTAGCAATCCCAGCCTTCGACTACAAATATAACAAGATGAAAAACGATGCCATGCTTCTAGGAGTAGCCGGTACAGATGTACCTATCGACAGTATCGCCAAACTTGCTCAGCCGCATCAGGTAATACCTCACTTTACCAAGACCTTTTATAAAAAAAAACACACATAAAACTTGAATGTTACATGAATAGCAATGGATATTCAACAATGATCAGCTATTCTCAGTGCCCTAGTTTTTTTAGGAAAACGAATGCCTTTTTGAGCAAGATTAAAAAAAAAGCGTTATTAGTCTTTTTTTATTTATTGTTCCGAATTTCTAAAATATACATATATATATATATACATACATAGTATTAGATAAAACCTTAACAGCACATAACCTCCAGATGCTCTTCAAAACTTGTACTCTAGTATAACGCTTGAAACATTTTCGAATTGCGTTAAATAATGCAAAAGACAATTATGAATGGACATTTAGCAGGCCTATATCCATCTCCTTCTGTGCATCAAAAGTTTTACCATGAATTTATAACTGTCAGTTGTTACCTCTCACTTATAACTTTTTTATTTCAGCTTGGCGTAAATGGCTATTCATTCATTGTGAGCAACAATGGATATTTATTACTGCATCCCTTGTTGATAACAACGGTAAGTTTTACAACTTATTAAAAAATTCTTACTATAACCAGTAGCCAAAAAAAAATTGGGAAAACTTTACTCTTGTATTTCTGTTCTGTTAAAAGGCCGCTTTTTGCCGTAAACCCCTAAAGAATAATGTAATTCATTCGATTGGGATACTAATGACGATTTTGACCGTGGTCATGCCAGTTTTTCAAAAAGAAAATTGTAAACACGTTTTTGTAGCTAGCCGAAATAAAAAGTAGGAAATAATTTTATTTAAATAAAATGATTTTTCTTTTTGTACTTATAGAAAATTATTTCATACTTTTATTTCGGCTAGCTACAAAAACGTGTCATTCATCAACAATTTCATTACGTCTAGCTACAAAAGCGTGTTTTTTTAGATTTTTTTTCTATAATTAATTTTTTCCTTTCAAGTCATTGATGTTTATTATCTTTTTAAAACTAAAAAGTAACATGTAAGTTAATCACATAAGCTTAAGCACACGCCTTAGTTGGCAAAAGACACTACCGTATTTTTAGGTATGGAAAAGCCGTTAATCCTGAAGGTCCTAATCAGGATATTGGGACAAATTATTTAAATTATTGCATTGTCATCGGTCCTTGATAAGTGTGCAAAGTTTTAATTTATTTCGACGTTTTGAAATGGGTCAAAATCACGTTCGAAGATTCCGTTATATACATATATATTACACACATACCAAGCGTAAATACCAATAAAAGCGTATTAATAAAAATAACACGAGTACGTACTTCGCGTTATTTGTATTAATACGCTTTATTACTAAATCATTTACATTGAATACTCTCAGAATCTCAACCCTATTAACTTAATTAATGTTACTATTGAGGCTTAGGTCCTGTAATCAAATTACGCGATTGAACGATTGGACATCAAAGGCGTAGTTTAATTAGTTGAAGTATTCAGGACTACTCAGAATATCTATAGAGTGATGTAAAGTAACATTTTCAATTTATTTATTTATCTATAACACAGTTAAGAAAGAAAACAGTTTGTAAGGCTTGTTTCTTTTTTTCGTTGACGGGGTGGAAAATCCCGTTGAGTCTCCGGCTCCTTGGGCACGCAGTAGCAAGTAGTATGTGGTGTTTCCACTAGAAACCACCCCGACCGCCATTCTCAGGGGTGGACTCATACTTTGGGGTGGAACCGGACCATCTGATTTTAAGGTCCTCCCCGAATCGACACCATGCCTAATTACGCCCTATCTGTAACCTATCCTATCTATAATTGAAAGATAAGTTTTTATACCATTAAATGACTAAGTAACGGGGCTAACTAATAATTGAGAACACCCTGACACTACTGAGTACTGGGTACTCGCAATTGACAAATATGTATAAAAAATAGAGCAATGAAAAATTCAAATAGTGATATCTTTAGTGTTTAAAAGTAAAATGAATTTGTTCGACCAAAAACATTTTTTTTTTTTACCAACGCATAATGCTATGACACATTTCTAGAAAACTACCTTCTTAAAAAAAGCATCTATTCGCCAAAAATAATATATTGAAGCGATGAACTTATTGAAAGTATGAAGGCGACGTCCTACGAAAGCCAGATGCTCTGAAGACCTGATTAAGCTAACTAGGATAAAGTGGATGCAGAAGGCGGTGGACCAAGTGCTAGGTGTACTTTGGAAGCAACCTACGCCCAGCCGTACATTGCAATAGACCGATTAATAGATTTATCGCTATCGTCCAATCGTGTCTCGTTATCTTTCTATTCCGTCAGTATTGGGACGGTTCCTATCTTATGAATACATTGAAAATAAACTATTAAACGATCGTCGTTTAAATTCGTACTGGAGATAATAAAAAATATAAGTGCGCAGTTGCAGCCCGTCAAAGGCGAAGTGTCACTTCTGTAGATGGCACAGCTGGCACTTCACTTTGGAAGTGCCAGCCGATTACAATAGGCGTGGGCGCTCTGCGAGTCAGTCAGTCTCAGATCTACAGAGCAGCGCGGCGCGCCTAGATAGTCAGTAAATATTTCAAGTCATAATTAGATACTCAAAATGAGCGAGCTTTATCTTTTTCAATTGTTAAATTTAAATTATTTATTTGCTTTAAATTGGGTAGTAAATAATGTGGTATTACAAGTTTTATATCAATCGAACAGGCCCATTGAGAGCCCAATGGCTCTTGTTCCATTTATTATTCTCAGATTCTTTATTTGTAAGAAATTCCTTGGTGAAATAAAAATTATTTTGCATAAGCCACCAACACGTAGTTTTATTATGAACTTAATGGTAATGTCTTCATAAAATTTAGGATTTTAATATATAATTTTATGCACATAGCGTATGAGTTACATATTTTGCAGCCGACTACTTCTTGGTATCATGTCCAGAACGAGCCTTTCTGGGTTCCTTATGTTATCACGGCGAGTAACATCTTTTGCCCGTTTGATAAATTTCCCTACCTCTAATATATAAAGGCAGGCCAAAGGGAGCATTTTTAGTTGTTTATAATAAGGGCGACTTGCAACATCCAGAGCAATATCACATATCGATCTTATGCATCTTTTTTGAGCAATAGAAACCTTCTGAACCTTCGAGCTATTGTCCCATATTAATAATCCATACCGAAGGACTGATTCGACATAGCAAAACTGTGCATGCCGTTATGTTATTCATTCAGAGGAGAATATTCAAATCGTTAAAACTCACCTTGCTTCCACTTAGATATTTAAAACAAAAAAAAATATGCAAAGAGATCTTTACTATTTTCAGATTAACGGCAACCTACAAACGAACTACAACAGTGTGGACTTTGTTGAGGTGGAGCAGGTCGATGATGGCAAAGGGTCACGGGAACTGGGAGAAAAGATCACGCTTCTAAGAGAAATGTTAGTCAATGGTTCGGACGACGACATGCAGCAAGTTGAAGTGCTGTACCATTATGACAATATGAGGTGGGTAATTACACTGTTAAGTTTACCTGTTAAGCAAACTACGAATTTAAAGACTAACCCAAAAAAGTCGTTTAGTGGATGATAACAAAGATCGATCAACTTCTCGCAAGCTACGCCTTTAGCGGCACAGCACTGTATTTAATAGTGGTAGTTTAAGTAGTCTTTTGTAGGGCGAAGGTACCTGAATGTCTACTACGCATCACCATCAACTAGACACTAAAAAAGTGCTTTTCAATTGACTTGTTTGACTTGACTGTGTTTTTGAATTGTTTGACGATATCTAAGGTAACGCAAGCGAAGTCGCAAAAGTTAGTGTTTAAATTCATAAGTTTTAGAAGGGAAAAATTAGAAAAGCTTTCACATTTTAAGTTGTGTATAGTAGGTTTTAATATAATAATTATTTTATGCTTCTACAAAAATCTAATAAGCGTCATGCGATATTTTAATTCTATGTATTGAAAATACTCGTATCTACCTACATACGAGTATTATATGGTTGAAGTATGTAAAGTAAATATTTATTACATTTTCAGGCGGATATCTCGAGTAAAACACGACTACTTCTTTAACAAACTCGAAGGTACACCTTTTTCAATGGGCATTTCTCTACCTAAGGGATATGGAGACACAGAACTTATGCTTAAAGATAACCCTTTGGAAGCCAAGCAGGGGAAGGCGCTAACGGGCATCAATGTCACTGATTATTTTAGGTTTAGCTATAGGGTACATCCTGATTGGTTAGTATTTATATATACTTGTATTTGGAACCCATTATCATAATTAAAATTACAAACTAGCTATAAAATGCCAATCAAAAGTTTCCAAATTAGTCTACAGGCAGTAAGCAATAAGGAAACTAAAAATTAATTCATGTATTTAGAATGGTTCTAGGTGTCTGCGGTAATATCACATTTTGTATAATTTTACACTTTTAATACTGTAGTATATATAATGAGAAAACAGAACATTTTACTTTTCTTGACGGCGGTGGCGGGTTTTCGAAGTACCGCTCAAAAATAATACTTACCTATTTTTGGATGGCATGAAAATAGTTTAAAATATGTAAGATGCTTTCGCGTTTTAATTGCGCAGTGCAGCTAATGACTGTAAAGCCTTAATATTAGATTTTGAATGCACCTTCGCCCATTTCAAATACAGAGTTTAATTATTATTATAAGAAATTAAATTAGAAATTAATAAACGTCGATTTATAAAAACAAACCTTGAATTTGTTTTAAAAAATTAGGTCTGTCTTATATTTAATAAACACGGGAGCGCCCGTATACTTACGTGTAGGTATTTTTATGTTATTTTATATATGTATGTTTCTGCTATATGTATAAAATGAATTGTTTTGTAGTAAAACTAACACAAAAAGTGGCATATTGTGCAATTTAAAATTTTATATATTTGGAAAGTAAAAAGTATATTTAATATGTTCTTTTCACAGGGTGTATTGTAAATATCATTACTTGGAAGGACATGAAACCCCAAATTCAGAAGAAGAGGCGTGGAACTTTTTAGTGGGTCTTTCCAAGAATGAGATCGACATTACCAGGCAACAATATACACAAGAAAATTACACAAAGTTTACTGTGGAGAGTAAGTAATATTTAAAGTTCTTTAATTCTGAGACAATATTTTATTACGATAGAATTATGAGACAAGTGATTAAAAGATAGTTTTAACGGATAGTTTTAAGTTTTATATCCTAAAACTATGCCTATAGTTTTTAATAACGTTTAAAGATTCTCGTTTTATGTCTCAAATCGTATAGTATCGTAGTATAGTATCCGTAGGAACAGTATCGTAGTAGACTTAAAACCTATTTTGGGAAAAAGGTTCGGAGAAGGAAGAGGATGTATATGGGAATTAACGACTCAGCTTGTAACTATGACCATTGGTCGAAATGGCAGGCAATTCAATGCTTAACTATTGATTCTATTGATATTTTTAAGGAACGAATAAACTCACTTTATCCTATGGCCACAATATTACTTAAAATACTTTTATGAGATGAGAGTAGACTTTGGGGGTTACGTGACTTTTGCGAAACGTAACCTAACAAGTTATTTTTGCCATATGTTTACAAGTGTCAATACTCGACAAACCAACTATTGTATTAACGAACTATTGTAACGTTAGTCAAAATAAAATCAGTTCGTAAAAATACCCATTGACACTTCGCTATTTTTTATTTTGTTTTACAAAAGGATGACTAAGGCAAACTTTTAATACCGAATAGAGTTTATTGCTATGATAAAATCTAAAAAAAACTTATTAAATTATTTTTCCAGCACATTGTGGAACTACCCCTTTGGATATAAACGCCTACTACTGCAACGAAGACTTAGTTAAACAGTTGGTATTTGACGCTAAATTAACAACGCCTTATTTTGAGACGTGGACCGCGTCTGATGGCTTCGATGAAAATGAAATGTGGGAACTTGCAAAAACATATAATGTTAGCGTCAGATTTATCGCGACTTCCAGCGGTCTTACGAGGTGGCATTATATTTTTGATTCTACTAAAAATGAGCAAGTTGACGACCACGGTAAAAGGAGCAAGGAGTATGAGCACGAGTAAGTGTTAGTTATCATAGTAGGTATTACGAAAATCAAAAATAAGAGCACCTTCTTCCTATTGTTTTAAGTCAATTACAGCTCCACTTTATTTTATTAAACATTCTGGTGATTTCTTTAGTCGAAAGGCCCTGCGGTATAATGAATAAGTAAGATATAAAATTATCAATTTCTGATTCCAGTGTATTTGGAGATATTTACTATAAGACTATCGAAGAAACTTGGTATCGAGCTGCGGTGCTCCAACACATGATAAATAATGAGTCTTTGGTTGTGGCTACACCTTTACCAATATTAGACGACGTCATAAAGACAAAGCCGAAGGTGATCAACGAGGACGGTGACATTACTTTGACAGCCAGCTACGCCATATTCTACAAAGATGGCAACTCTTCAACACCGGCCTCTGTCGTTGGTTTTCAATATTCCTACTTGAAGTTCTATGAAAGATTTTTGCAAATCACTAAAGAATTTACCTTGGATGAATCTAATGTAAGCCTTTTATTTTAATAACTACAAATATTTTTTTATTTGTCATGTTCCATGTGCATGTCATGTTTCATGTACTTTTGTCTATATGTTTAGGGATTAATTCTCAATTGCAAATTAGAATTTCAGAATAGGTATACCCTAGGATAATTTTCATAAACTAAAAATTGGACACAGAACTGCATAATCATGTGCAAATATGAGTGAAAATTGACATTTATAGAAGATAACTAATAATCATATTTTTGCTTCGTGCCTAATCAAATCGGCCCTTTTGTTTATTTATGATTTTCTTTCAGGACCCTAAATGTAACTCAACCAAGTTCGAGTGCTACGTCATTGACAGTTCTGGGTATATCGTTCTGTCGAAGGATAAGAACCTAGTTGGCCAATTCTTTGGTCGTGTTCATAATCATGTTCTACAATCGTTTCTGGACACTGGAATTTTTGATCACGTAGAAGTCTTCAACTACCAGGCTCTATGTCCTGTGTCTATATTGGTCAAAAAGAATAGCTCATGGTCATTAAAAACTGTAAGTTGTTTTTTTTTTTGTATTTTTGTTGTATAAAGCATGAAGAGTTTATTTAATTATTTTTTACAAAGGGTAAAACGAGCAGATGGATCAGGAGTCACAAGTGCGTTGTCGCCCTTTAAGCCCCTTTCCCTGGAAACCGAGGGAGGGAGCTTTGGTGGGAGGGAGATTGGTGAACTCACTCAATCTAAAGGGCCACTCTCGAGTCTAATCGGCAATCGTAGCCCACAAACCAATACCGATAAAACTTGACTTGACTGCACGGATGGCGTAGTTGTTTAAGCAGTCGCCAAGCCGCTTTCTACTACGCTGAGTGTTGTGGGTTCGATCCCCACATTGGACGACACTATGTGTGATTCACAAATTGACATTCTGAGTCTGGGTGTTCTTTGTGTCCCTTTCATGTATGTTTGTAAAGTCCCCCGTGACACCAGTGCGGAAGTTGTCTTAAAGAAACTTACTCACTTGGTGAAAATTAACGTAAGGGCTGCTTAACACCGGTTTTTCTGTGACTGTGCCGTGGTTAAATTATGGTCGACCCTTCCCGTTTATTCGGATGCATGATTGTTTCAGACTTATTAAGAAATATTTTCTCTATTCTCTATCTATTTTTCTATAATGGAACACGATTTGCTGGTTATACTGCGCTGTACCCTTCTTTTTATCTTTTTCTATAGCAATGTACAGAACATAATTTATCATGTATCAATTTACATAAATTTTTGCAGCCTTTCACCGTTACATTCAACTTTTTGACTTGGTTGATATCTGAGGCCCTGTTATTGTTAACCAATGTATACAATGGGAATGAGTTCGCCTACGCATCGGTCATCGAGGATCCTGGTGAGACACTTATAATAGTTCTACAGCTAGTACTGCTACTGCAAATAATAATTGGAAAATGCAGAAGGCTCGCAACTTACAACTAGAGTCTAGGCTTATATGGATAGCCAATAGTTAAGTTAGGTAAATGCATATGCATGCATGCTATAAAACATTACAATTCTAGAGACGAGCATTCTTCTAAATTCAAAATAGAGTTAATAGGCTAGGACAATGGACTATGAAAAAAATAATTAAAGGATTCTTTGAAATTATAAAAAGAGAAATTTAAAAGCTGTATTTTATGTTTTTAAGTAATAAGGTCAGGATTTGAGAGGGCTATAGGACAGAAAGACACTTACACCTGAACTAATATTTATCTAACATTAGTTTATGAATAAGTCCTACAGCAGGTGGTAGTATTCAACTCTATATCTCCCAAATTCAATAAAATATAGAATACTAGCTGACCCGGCAAATGTTGTTCTGCCATATATATATTATCAAAGAAATCGGATGTAAGTAAAAAGTGGGGGTGGAGGTAGAAGGGTAGAAAATGCTTTACGACCTAGTCTCATACCTGCCAAATATAAAAAAAAAACAGTCAAGCCGTTTTGGAGGCAGGTGACCACAAACACCGTGACACGATATATTTATATATAAGAATATAATAGAAACTTGTCTATCACCGACTTAATCTACTCTTGAGTATAGGAGAAATATAAATAATTATAGTGTAAGCGAGTATCAAAAGAACTATATACACCTAACACCTGTTCAAAAACAATCAATAAATTAATAAATTTATTTAGCACACTCAATATTTTGGAAATCAAGAAAATATTTTTCTTTTAAATAAGCATTTACAACGCTGTCCATCAGTAAAGGCGTATTAACATAATGCTTTAGCTGTTGTCTATGTATAGTTATATTGAAAAATATCGATATTTATAGAATTTAAAATAAATAATGAAGACACTAATTGCATATTCATAACTAATAGAACAATAACGACAATAATTACAACAATTATGATGTCAATGTGATGCCAATAATAAGGCTTATTAAAAAATTAATGTTAGATCAATATGTATACAATGCACTCTTCTAAGGTAACCTGCCAGTGACAAACTATTTCAATAAAATGCACTTTTCTTACCTATTCAAGTTCTTGCAATTCACAAATGTTCGTAATAAAACTACAAAATTTTAGTTAATGCCTAGTTTGGTTATATTGGTGTGTATACATTGTTAGTATGTTAGTAGAAATGGAAAATGATACAATGGCAGAAGATATTTAAAATATAATTTGCTTTTTGGGCCACTGGAAACTTTTATTGGTTATTCGCAATTTATTTGTTTTTTGCGGGACTCCATTTTAATCAGTAAAATCTGTAACCAATTTAAATATACGAGTAAAAATAAAAAGGGATTTCGAGCTTTCAGCACAGACTACAAATCACAACAAACATCACATGCAGAATTGTTAGTACATGCTACTTCTATATCAAAATTTATTTTGAAACTACACATTTACATACATTTTAAACTTACCATACCTATACCGTGGCAATAAGTTATTTTAGGCCTGTAGTTTACATAGACAATAATAATTATAAATTGCAAGTACTTTTGCTGCATGGTAATTAGCAGCTAGTAACCGTATATTGTATAAGCACGTCTAATACTTTGCTTTGTATAACCGCATGATCGTCTCCCTCACAGACTATATCGAAATAATCAAAGAAGCGTACACAGAGCCGCCAACGACGTCACGGCCACCCTCTGCGGCGAATGAAACCATCTCTGGCAAAGAAAACAAGGGCCCAATCCTGTTCTCCTGCGACCATAGCGTTCAGCTGTACATACTGAATCAATCATATTTCCTGGAAGTCGCTGGAGCTTCGCCTACTGTTGCAAAAGATGAACCTGGACCGTGTCACCCCGCGTACTGGGCTTCCTATGTCCCTAAAACAAATTTGCTCCTCGTGGTTGTCGAAAATGATGACAACACTTACGAGAATTGCAAAGAGCCACGAGACACAAAACCTAAACCAACTAGTGCATCCACGGACAGCCTGGAACCTTGCCACAAACTAGATTTGAGCAGACTAAAGCGGCGACGACTAGAAGGCTGCTTCACTTATCATGATGGGGTATAGTATCTTAAATTGTTCAAGTATTCAAGTAAGATTCAATAAGTAGTTCAAGTAACATTTAGAGTTTCTTCAGTGAATTATTGACATTCAAAGATTTGTGTGTTTTGACGGATTAAAAAGAAAGAGTGCCTCTATCAATGTACATTCATCCCGTGGGTGTCGTAAGAGCCGACTAAGAGAGCAAACTACGCAGAGCAACAGCACTACAAAGAGAAAGAAAACTTTACACAAATTCAGAGGCCTATGTCCAGTGGTTGACAATTTTTTTTACAGCAAAGTTACTAAATAACCATATTACTACTAATTATGCTGAATATTTGAGCAACATCTACTTGCTATTATCAGTTGTCAGGAGTTTTGCCAAGACGTTCTTACCTTATCCACATATCGCCAGGTCATCCAGGGTCAGCTATGAACTAATTTTTAGACTGACCTGGTTGATGTCGAAAGGTTTTTGAAATCTTTTGTGAACATTATTTTTGATTCATTCGATTTTAGAATGTTAAATCAATAAATAGGACAGCTTAAGATGGTCAAAAATATTTTTTTTTTCTTTTTTTTTTTTTTACAAAAAGCAGATACTTGGCAGAAATGTGCTTTATATCTAAAAGGCAGATAACCTAAGAACACCTATATTCTTTTAGACCTACTGCACAAAACTTCTTTGTTTTCGGTTTGTAATTACGAGTACGTTTACTTATTGTTATTCTAGTATTTAACAGTTAGTTCGTTTTTATATCTAATAGTAACAATTCATAATAAAAACGACTGCTATAAATACTCATATTTTGACTGTCAATATAGGAATGATGCTACATTTTCAATTCCAATTTTTTTAAAGCCTTGATAAATGATAAAGATACAAGTCTGTGGTAAAATCTAATAATAATCAGAATTTACTTCTTATTATGAAATTTGAATGTGTCAAATCATAGCTAATGAAACGATTCATCTAATAAATTTATCATCTTTAATGATCAGATACAATCCTCGTTGGAGAAATGAGATAAGGAAATTAGGCTAAAGTGACAATGCTGACATGTTGATGAATGACTAGTACCTATATATTTTCAAATTGTTTTTAAGATCATATTATTCCTATAAGTCCTAAGAACATATTCGTCCTAAACACTTTACCGATGATTTACAAATATATAAATAGAGGTAAATTAAGACTGTTTTAGAAAAGTAGGCATAGCGCAATATGTTTTTTACTTCTACATGTCCTGAAATTGATCTAAAACAGAGTTGCTAACATAATCGTTTTACCAGGAGTATACTTAGCGAAACAACAATATTTAGTCTTAAAGTTAATTGAACCAATGTTGTACAGGAGCGGAACATCACGGAGTGTGGCATCGCCAGCATCGCGAAGTGCGACTTGCTCGTTATGTTGATCGCGTGCTGTCTACTCGCCTACACAGGGATGATATCCTCATGAGATATATCTATATTTGTACCTTTGTTACATTACCAATAAAAATTGTTGCACCCATTTTGTTTGAGTTTTGTTATTTACACCTTGTTGTATGCATAGTGTTAGTTCGGTAAACGCCGGAAGACTATAGATATAGAATATATTTATCTATAAATATATAGATTATATCACCAACAGCCTCTACCAGTCTACTGTCCACTATACCACGCCGGCCAGACGAGTTGGTATAGGGATTGTTTCAAATTTTCTTTCTCTTTGCAGTGCTGTTGTCCTGCGTAATTTGTTCCATTAGTCGGCTTTTACGACACCCACGGGATGCATAGGGGTGGTGACATTCCATATTCTTATCGGTCCTTTATATGTGTATGAATCCTGATAAAGTGTAAAAACAAAATTGTTCACGAACTAATGATTTCTAGCTATTGCCTGTGGCTTCGCTCGCTGTTTTTTATTTCGTGTTTCTAACTTTGAATATGATGAATCTTCATACAACCGTTCATCCCTCTTTTTACCCTCTTATAGTTGAAAGTTCCAAAAATCCTTTCATACAACATAAAAAGCAACGGCTGCCAAAATTTCAAGTTTATAGCTCCATGGTTTAGGTTCTGCGTTGATGAATCAGTCGGTCAGGGCAAGTAGTTTTATTTCGATTTAACTAAGTTAAACTTCATAATTTCTGGAAATAAGAAGTTAGTGTGATAATAATTTGGTATATCGCGACTGAAAAGTATTTAAACGTAGGTTACTCAAGCTTATAGGAGAAAGATGCAATCAAATCGGTCAAAATCTCAATGAAATAAACTAAAGTTGTACCAGTAAAACTCGAAATTTGCATCTGCATACAAAAATATTTCGACAAGGTCATCTACCTACTGTATTACGTATTACCTACTGTATGGATTAGCGGTCAAGGCCATCTATCGCTTTCTTGGATTGTTTTTTTAAACCAGTTACCCTAACGTCCAATATAGAATCAAGCCATAAACTTTAAATGTTTTTAAATCTACCTACAATAGGTGACTGCCTATCAGAAAAGGAAAAATAAATTAAGAAAAAATAACAGTTTTGGATCGACTTTCAATTTGCACATAGCACACCTAAAAACTTTAAATAGATAACTTTTGTGAAAAGTGAAACACGTAACAGACGCGCCCTATCGACACGGTGACCTAGTGTTGAGGGAGATACAAATCAATGCGTCAGGTGGCGGCGTGTGAATCTACAAGTTACGCTTACATGTGTAAATATACGATACACAAACCACCGTAGAGGTCGTCGGCAATAATCGGCAGCGCTCCCGCTAGTCGGGACGCATAAGGGAACCAGAGCGCATGCCCGACCCGCGCTCGCTCGCGCATGCGCCTAATTGCGCACACCTTATCAATGTTCCGTGTTCAGTACCAGCGTACCGACACTTAACCCTCAACAATTGCTAACATTCTGCATATCGTAATTAGATTAACCTAACATGATCTTCAGTATTGGTTTAATTCTGTGAACAATAACGTGTCGGTTCTGATGTACAAGTGTGTCGACGCGTTCGTGTTACTTCTGCTGATTCTGTTCCTGGACTCCAGGGACTGCTCGGCTAGTGCACAAAATGATGTACCTAACAAAATATTGTTTAACTCGTAAGTTTTATAACTTTCATTAATTAAATTATTTTAATCTTCTGACGTATGAAAATCATGAATATTATATTTTACCTACACGTACAAAAATATACATTTATACCTACTTGTCGATTATTCAAAGAACTTATTGAGTAACAATATTCAGTCATCATTTAGAATATAGTATAATCTAACAGTAAACATAATTATTATAGACTCTGTTTAAACTTAAAGAAATCTATAAATATACAAAGATCGTAAAAATCTATAAAAAACGAGTAATCGGAAATGCTAAGAAAAGTTTATTTAGTGCAATATGATTAGCAGGACTGGTTAACGTTATGGAACGCTGGTTAATGAGTGTCATCATTGAATATTGTAGGGTGCAAGCATGGGCAGTTAAGCTGGGCACCGAGTTATATCATTTCGGAGAATTTATCACCAGGAAGAAAGAAGTACAAGACGTAAGTAAAACAAATATCATGTATGTATAAAAATACTTGTAAATGTATAAAAATACTTATATATACCTCTTAGTGAATGTATACAGATATTTACATACTTCTTTAATCAATCCAGAGCTTTAAATCAGCCCAAGTGGAGTCAAGAGATGGAGAAAAACTAGTTCAAAGTATGTCGGACGACATTCGAGCCATGATGGAACTGAAAATTAGTGCTGTCAAAAGAATAGTTGAGGCGGCAGAGAACATGGCATTTGATAAACAAAACGAACCGGTACCAGAAGATTTTCAGTTTTACAATAGCAAGGATATGGAAGAACCATTTGATGAGATGGCTATGACAACAACTACTGAAACAGACTTTAATTTAGATAGCTGGATAGTGCGACCTCCGTCTAGGAATGCACACCTCCAACAAAATCCTCATTTTTCAAATATTCTTGTAAATACTAATTTTAGCAGTGTACACGTGCCGACAAATGTTTATGCCTGGGGTTAGTAAACAATGGTCTTGTAATTATAAATATTTGGCAGACGTCTTATAAAAACTGTTAACATATTTCAGCACCTGAAGTTATTAAAGGAATTCATTGGTCGGAGGGTCTGGACACCCACTTCATTAATAACTATCAGAGTGACCCAACGCTATCGTGGCAATACTTTGGTAGTTCAACTGGATTTATGAGACATTACCCTGGTACATCTAAGTCATTTCTACATGTTTTAAATTATGACAATCTATTATTATTTATATAAACGCATATTTTTCTATTCTAGCATTGAAGTGGAGAGCAGATCCGGTAGATATTTATGATTGTAGGACTCGCGCCTGGTATATGGAAGCGGCCGCTAGTCCAAAGGATGTAATCATTTTAGTAGATCGTAGCGGTTCAATGACGGGCCAGCGGAGAGACATTGCCAAACACGTCGTCACAAACATATTGGATACGCTAGGCAATAACGATTTTGTTAACGTCATGACCTTTGCAGACACTGTTGAGGAGATTGTGCCGTGTTTTGAGGATTCTTTAGTGCAGGTCTATAAGATAAACCATTTACAGATCGTTTAAATTGTATGCTTTGCAAATGACAAATATACCTAAGGAGTTTTATTCTTTTTATATTAGGCTACACTGGGAAATTTACGGGAACTCAAATTGGCGTTAGATAATTTTGAAACAATGGAAATAGCAAATTTTTCGGCCGCTTTGACACGAGCCTTTGAACTTCTAGAAATCTATAGAAATAACAGCGGTGGAGCCAATTGTAACCAGGTATTTAATAGGGTACTTATTTATCATCTACACAATATATTTATAAAAAGAAGTTATATGTTTATTTGTATACTAATTAGTACCATTAATGTTCAAAAGTACATCAACAAATTAATTGTGTATGGTAGACTGTTTTTGTTATTAAATAGCATAAGTAAAAAATATAATAGTAAGGCTAAATGGATTGTACATTGGGGACTGGCGCTGATAGTTAAAATACAGGCTTCGCCTAGTTCGAATACAGAAGCTTAATGCATTTTATTATAAGAAACAATAATATAGCCGTTCAAAGATGTAAGTTTTTATGTAATATAAACAAATAAATGTATAGTTGATTGTTTTCAGGCTATAATGTTGGTAACTGATGGCGTACCATACAATTACAAAGAGATATTTGAGAAATACAATTGGAAGTACGATACCCCAGTGAGGGTGTTTACGTACCTGATAGGGCGCGAGGTAAAGGTAGTACCACTTCAGGTAATACTGTGTGTCGTAGTCATTGTGCGACCTGCATAATGCCTTCCTTCGTACCAATCTGCCAGTACACCTAGAATGTGGTACTCTTCTGTCTCTGTACTGTGTATACCCAAATTGTAAATTGCATGCAGTTCGTATGACTATTAAACTTTTTAAAAATTTTCCACTTACATTATGCTTACGCTTATAGTGTTTTGTTTTTTTTGCACGAGTTTATATATTATATGTATGGGTCATTGCCAAATTTTGCGCAGGTAACTGACTTAAAATGATAAATTTATTAAAAATTTAAATATGATCAAACAAGAAGTTTTTGTGTCTGCATGTGTGTCACAATAACTGAACTCGACAGTCGGTCGCGATGTTTAACTAATGATTTACGAATAATTCCAAATTTAGGAGGATGGAATGTAAAAAAATTACTCTGTTATCATTACGTTTTACCTTTTATTGTGAAATTAAACTATAAAGTTGCAAATATTTTGACATTAGTATTAATTACTGTCTTTAATCTTATTATCACATTTAAAATTGCCAAGTTTTATTTAAGTTTAACAATCTTAATTTTTGAAGTCTAAGCAACTCTCTTACTTCTTGAACTTTGATTAAAATTAAATTCTAACAAAATCCTCTATCAAATTAACATGTTGTAGTATTATCATATTATATTAATTACCTTTTCATGAAAATCTTTAGTAATGTTCTAAATCTTTGGGACAGAAAAGAAACAAAGTTGTAATAAATCAACATAGTAGTTCTTTTTTGTATTTTACTTGACTCAATTTCACTCAGTTGAGCATGAAATAAAAATAAAAGAAACAATAAACTTCAATGTTTATTACAATTGACTATATGACTGATATTTTACCAATCTAGAATCAACTATGTAAAATAAAAAAGATAAATTCCTAAGAGAGTAACTGGCAAGGTACTTATTTTTCAAATATATCTAAAGCAGCATACAGAACAGATTCCTGTCGTACATGATAGTAAATCTGGATCACACACTTGGTCAACAATAATCTTGTTAAGATCAGAGGTTAGGTTTAACTTTGTTTTTACACAAAGCAATTGCTAAGTTAATATGAATTCGACACAAACATGTCTCTCTTATGGGTCTAACAGTTGGGTGCAAAATATAAAATGGTCTGTATCGTATAAAAGTTTTGTAACTACAGTGTTGTGTTTTTATCATGTAACCTTGGTACTTAAACCATGTAACACTTCTGTATGATTTCTGTTTTCTTCCTAGAACATTTAAAAGCCTTCTCTTCAAATATCTTTTGAATAGCATATTTCTTCTTCCGATTTCTAACATTTAGTAGCGTTTTTTAATAGCATCAGATAGGACTTTATATTTCTTTAATTTTAGATTTCTTTTAGCATTTGCCTAGCCATTTCTTTTTGAAAATTGCTCGATGTTAAAACGTGTTGTTAAATCTCGTACTAAGCGTTTGCTTGCATGGCATCTCTCTAGATCTTTGCTTTTACATTCTGCTTCCTTTTTGAGATTAATTTTACGCTGTTCTTGGTATCGTCACTGCTTCTCAGCAGCGGCGTGAGACGCATCTTAAAACCACAAAGAAACACACAGTATTCCGTAGTATTCCGTCAAGTTTTGATTTTATTTATAAGATAGCTACACGTTCAATTTTCACTTACTAAGCATGAAAATTGTGTGAGGAACACCGGTAATTTTAAAAAATATCATTTAATATACACATATAATTAATTAAAATCCAAAGTAAAAAAAATATAGGCATACCTACTCAACTCTATTACTTTCTTAAACACTCTTTTAGGTACGACGCATTAGTGACAGAGTAATTAATTTCACATTTCGCAACACATAGGTCACAAAGTAAACTCTAAAGTGCACTCTTGCATTACCATTTTGAATATTTAACTCCTTGACAACATACTAAACGTAAAATAATGAAAAATACTTCGATTTATTTACATAAAAGGTAGGTATCAAAGTGGATACAAAATAAAAATACGCAATCTGTTCAACGCCTCGCGGCTGCCTGAGGCTTTCTGAACCCCTCTCCCCGATCTAGCGATCACTCACGATCGATGCGGACACTCCGCTCATACTTAAGGTTCATACAAGGCTAAAACAGTGCCATCTCTATATAAAGTTGCAATTTACTCGGTAACATAGTATTCCCGTCAGCTTCAAACGGTTCGCGGGGCCAAATTCTAAAAATTAGTTATTTATTATATTATGACACTTGTCGATTTTAAGACATATTTTATGCATATTAACAATACTCTGTTTATTGTCAAAAAATGTTTTAGGTAGGTTGTCATAGTAGACAACGAAATTATACGATCTACATTATAACGGAGACTGGGACACAGACTTTCCAAGGAAAACCATTCATTTACTTTAAAAGAGAGCCAAGAACATCTAAGCTGAGTCTTGATTTTAGTAATCAACCTTTACTTATTCTATGTATTTAGTAATTAAAGTAAATAAAGTTAGATTTAAAAAAAAAACATAATTGACGGACCAGTTTACCTGCGCAAAATTTGACAATGACCCGTATACTGTAAAGCATGTTAAAAAGTAAACTAGATGTTTTGTTTGGTTTTAGTTGTACATTCGTGTTTGTGTTTTTAATATTTATTATTTACTTAACAGTCCAAAAATTAGTAACTTTCATATGTGTAACGTCTTTCCTCTTGCTTTCTTGCAAAGGGACGGAAGTGTGTAACAGGAACTTCTGAATAAATATTAATGATAATAATAATAATTTGTTAATTCAGACAGAGTCCATTGTGTTAGTATACAGTATTTTTTTAAATTTACAGTGTTACTAAAGTGCGAGCAATTTGTTTTATTAATCAATGCTAGAGTTGACTCTCAGCTGGTAGGTGAGATGACGGATGTTACACATCATTTGCGATTACTGTAAGGCTGGCCCATTTTTTTTTATTTTAATACTTCTGTTTACTAGTTGAGAATTAGACAACAATTAGAAAAAATACAGCTGTAGTTACTATCATTTGACTAGTCTATTCCATATTCTCACAAAGCTGCCTCATCACCACGACTCTATTTAGGTGAAAGTATCGGCAGCACTATTCACAAAAAGCTGTTAGATGATGGAAAAGTTGAAGTAAAACATATAATTCTTAGAAAGCTTTATGTAGGTGGCAGATGTAAGAGAAGTGAAGTGGATGGCGTGTGCAAATAGAGGATTCTACGTGCACTTGAGCACGTTGGCGGAAGTGAGAGAACGGGTTCTAGAACACGTCAATGTACTGGCGAGGCCGCTAGTGCTGCAGCGAGAGAAGCATCCAGTTGTGTGGACACCTGTCTATGCTAACGTGACGGTAGGTGTTTATCTTACTCTGTTCTTAATTTTGAAGCTTCGTTATTCTAAAAAAGGAATGGGCCCCTTGAATTTGCATCAAGCATTAATGTCTTGGGATGTCTCGTTTCTTTGGTAGGTAAAATTGCAGCTATTATGACAAGGTAATTATGAGATAATAATATTTAATAAATTAAATGTTGAAACCATTAGGACCCTAAGGTAGCGGATTATCTTTGGGAGCAACGCGAGCGAGCAGAGCAGAAGGAACGGTTTATGAGTCAACGTCGCGACCGAAATTTATTCAACTCTAACAAAGAACAGGAAAGAAGATACAGAATCACACAGGTACTGAATGATATTATGATTTCTGATTGCTATAAATAATGTGGAAAGTATAGGAGTATAATGGAGGTAAGTTATAGCAGAATTCCTGATCAAATAAAGTACTAATAATAAAGAATCACGAATAGAGGATCGGTAGACCTTAAAGTAGTACATAGTTAAAAATTACAAAGAGATCTGCAATGGGGTCGCGCACTCTTCTTTTAATGCCAGGGCCAAGTGCGAGTTTATTTCACATTAACTCGCTCTCGACAGCGAGTGCGTTTGGCGTTGCGATTGGTTAAGATTTCAGTGTGGGCCAATCGCAGCGCCGAACGCGCTCACCGTGACCATCGAGTAGATGTGATATAAACTGGCACTTAGCCCTACGCCTTTAGAAAAAGCATTTATGATTCACCTGATCTTGCAAAAGATCCATTGCCTACCGTTTCTATCAGGTTGGTTCTTTGCTAATAATCACGTTAACAAGATCTACTGCATAATTTATAGTGCACGTGTTCTATTGGTGTGGATATGGGATATTCACACCGGATTGGTGTGGATATGGGATATCTACACCAATCCGTTAGATTTAAAAGTTAGGTACTTTTCTAAAAAAATATGTTGTAGATATCCACTTCATTATCATTACTTATATTAATATATTGTGTCTTTTACAGATGAAGCAGGGACAGTACAGTGAACTCGGCAATTCACAGTATCAGTTAATGACATCTGTGTCTATGCCCGTGTACGACCTGCGTCATAACGAGGTGCGTTCTGTGTTTTGTCTATACTCTTAACTACTTGAGTCCCAAAATCTATTTGTATAAATATATAACAAAACAACAATGAGAAAAGATAATTATTGGGAATCAGTAATCACTGTCAGAATTTTAAATCTATCTATTTTATTGAGTTATAAAAACAAATGACTATCTTCTCTCCATTGTTTAGTTATCTATTATCTATTTTCCAAATTCTAAATTTCCCATTTAGCATGAACCGATTATCCCTGTCTTCTATTTAAAGATTATGTTTTACAGATTGGTTTTATATTTCCTACTAACTGGACGTAAGCCCTATCTCTTCTTACTACCTACTTTATTCTCTACTCTGTATTATCTATCTTCTTTAAGATGTAAATGTCTGCTAATAACTCCGTTTTGTTTGATGGTTTCCCCTCAGAACATCACAGAGAATGTACTGATAAATGAAGCTTACTGGGTATCGGTTACGAAAGAGGTACTACACTTAGAAAGTTTTGATGATTTAATTGTAAAGTTTTTGCAAGATAAAAGAGAGTTTTTATGATTTAGTTTTTTGAATTTCAGTAACGGTACAGTGTTATTTGGCCCCGTTAGCGATGCATCTGTCCTCGATAGATGTGCGCGCGGCCGGCGGGCGCAAGGCGGACGCCCCGCGCTCGCCCGCGCCCGTCTAGCGCCAATGTGTTGTCCGACCCTTTGGCTTACCGTAGTAAAGTAGTTTCTAATAGCTCGTAGGCGTAGACCACTAGGGTGTTATGAACGAATTTTCTATCAATCATCAAATTAATTTTCTATGCAAGAGTTATGACTTACACTACACACACTATTTAATGAAATAAAGTATTTTGCCTGAAATAGTGATGTCTTCGTAGAGACAGTTTTAAAGATTGACTTGTATGACGACAAGTAAATGTAAATATTTTAAATAAAATTACCGCCCGACATACACGCGACTGGTGTGGGGCTTTTGTGACTTGACTTTCTATTGAGTTAAAACTTATTATCTTCTGAATGACGACTTTTCAATATTAAATTTTTTAAACTATATTCAGTCTCTCCGAAAGAGAAGACATTGTTTTCTAGCCGAAGTTGTTACAAAGCATTTATCTATATGTTATTATATTTTATTGCATTCGTACGTCCACAACCAATCGCAGTCCGTAGAGGAGAACGGCCAGAAAGAGGTAGGCCATCGCTCATAGACAATACTGCCTCCGAGAGTTTTGCAAGACGACGCATGATCGGTGATGGACGAAGGACAAGCGCGCGTACACTATAGACGCGCGCTTCTAGCACGTATGGTTCAAACTGCTTTCAATGTTTGTGAAATATTTTATAACTGGGAATAAACTGAACGTGTTCGTCAATGTAATTGTAAAATGTCAACAGATTCTAACAAGGACACTTTTCAAAGGGTATTTGTATATTTATCATGAAAATAGTAGTGGGTTTTTTAGAATATAAAGTGTAGAATTTTAAGTTTGTGACATAAAATTATTAAATATTTAAGTAGTTTTTTTGCTAGAACCTGTAATCGTGGATATAAAATTAGAATCCCTTAATATAGTTCTATATAATGAGTATAATAATATATAGAACTTCGTCTAACGGGGCTTAGATGCTAATAAGTAATTATTGCTAGTTTAAAAAAATTGACATAATGTTGTTTACATATAAGAGTAGAAACTGATGGCCAAATACAATGCCAAAACTCAATACCTTGTAGTTAGAATAATTTTTTACTGTTTACTTAAAACAATTATTAACATGCAGCTATAATTTTACATTATTCTAATATATTTTTTTGTATTTCAAATGTAGTTTACAACATGTTAAAAGTAGAAACTAGTAGCATTGTTATGGAGAAAATCCACATTAAAGGAAACATGAAATGTCTAGAAAATAATTAATTTTGTCTGATGTTTTCTTTTTTGTTTGAATACCTATATGTATTTTCAATCCAGTTTCGTGTGTTAATGTTTTGATATTTCCAGATGCGTATTGCTAGACTTTTGGGAGTCGCTGGCACAGACGTACCTCTTTCTGAGATACAAGCCCTCATGACGCCTTACAAGGTACACACTATAACTTTGTTGTTTAAAATCGCTATTCTTAATCTAACTTCGAGATTGTTGTGATTGTTGGTTTTAATTTTTAATCAAAAACTTCAATACAAACTTTAATGTATAAATACGAAAGTACTATATTTCCCTATTGTTTTTTAAGTAAGAAATTTTCACGAAGTTTGGTAGAGGATGTCTGAAATTTTAGAATATTGAGTAAACAATGTGCTTAAAATATCTCTTTTATATTAAAAAAAAATATGTCAAATTTAAATGATTGATACTGGCACGAAATAAGTGCGCAAAGCATTTTGATCTATATAACGGCTGGGAGTAAAGTGACTAAAGCAAATCTTAATATCGGCTTCAAATATAAAAATTTACAGCCATGCTAAAGCATGCTAAACATTGTTGTACTTCAATTACAGATCGGCGTAAATGGATACGCGTTCATTGTGACGAACAATGGATACATTCTGATTCATCCAGACCTGAGGCCCGTGGTATGTTTCACTTCAACAGCTTCTAGACAATCTTAAATATAAATTTGTAATTTAAAGTGATTCGTAGTAAGGTTGCTAAAGAACCTAAGCGTAAGCTGGAAATTAAATACAAATATTTTGGTTCAAAGGAGGTGAAATGAAAAACCAACAGGTTTTATCAAATTTTTATTTTTAATGAATGTTGTCTGTAAACTCGCACCCATTTTTTTTTATAGATAGTAAATAAAATATGGTCAACAGGGTAAAAGTATCGTCTTTTATAATTATTAGCATTAGCTGACAGTAGTATATTGTTAAATAACCAGGAACACGTTCAAAACGGTGTTGATTGTCATTTTCGATCGCGAACTTGACATCAGTAGAAACTTAAAATTAAAAAACAGGCATGCTCTGTTGAATGTTTTCTATTTCAAAGTAACAATACTACTTGAATTATTGCACAATTAACTAAGTGCAAACAAGATTAGAAGCTAAGTTAGCATGTATGCGCCTCGTATTTTACCTAAATTAATAAAGAATACAAATGTATTGACCCGAAGTATTTTCAAATAAATTACATAGGTAATCACGTATGTGTCATGACGACTTTCAATAAATGAAATTAATCACCATTATTTCTTTTATATTTCAGTTTCAACAAATATTGAAGCCAAGCTACAACAGCGTAGACATGATAGAAGTTGAACTCTTTGACGATGACAGAGGTCCCAGGAATTTTAGCAAAGAGTTGACTGCTGTAAGTTAATACTTCTAACTACAGTTTAAAACTTTGAGCAATTTATCTAACCAAATTTAGCAGACACTTATATTCTCCAAGTAAAATCCTTTACAACTAGGGCCTGTGATTTTTCGAGCTTAATTTGGGTGTAAATAATAATATTATGTAATATATCCTAGATGAATACAACTTACATATGTGTCTCATATTTAAATATGAGACACATGCTTCGGCGCCTATGTGGGTACATCAACAGAAGTGATACCAACAGTCTAATAGAATGCCAATGTTAAGCAATTCTTTATTTGCTATTTATGCGAGTGAGTGGATGTGACCCTCACAATTCTGGCTGGGGCAATATAAAGCGGGCAACGCGACCCTTGAGTTGTAGGGTCCATTGACGGCAGTAGTCACTTACCATCAGGTGATTTGTTTGCCCTCCCATACCATTAAAAAAGTAAAATGGTTGCAAATATTTGTTTTGTGTCTGGGTGTAATTTATCTATAATATGTATGTATTTAAAAATACATAAGAATGTTTATCAGCAGATTGGTTGATATAGTACAGGCCCTGCCTAGTTTGGGACCAGACTATTATTATTATTTATTAATAGTATTCACAGAAAATAAAGATGTATGTACCTACACCGCGTGTGTGTCTAGGGAACATACAGAACATTACACCCCGAAATGAATAAATAAAGAATATAATATGCTTGTTTTCACAGCTTCGGCAGGAGGTCATTGACCAAAAAACAGGAAACAAAGTAATGAATGCCAAATATCATCTAGAAGACATGGTAAGTAGACAGACAAGTAGAAATTTATTGGTTAAAAATTTGATAAGCGATGAAGAATACACAGGGAACCTAAAGAATATTTTTCGAGGCAAACGTTTAGCTCAGACAAAAAAGACTGATTAACTTTATTCGTAGATTATTGAGGCTCCGAGTACCTGTTCAGAGCTTCGACGTAAGACTTTCATCGTAAAAGTAATATATTATAATAACAATCTTGTATTATGTTTTAGAAACGTGTATCCCGTGGAAAAAGACATTACTTTTGGACGGGCATCAGTGACTCTCCATTCACTTTGGTGGTGGTAATCCCAGAGAATTACGGGAGACATCGTATAACACCGCCACCCACAGATGACATACACCGTCTCTCTCTGACGTCCAAAAATATATCGGCGAGGCAATACCTATCGGATAAGTGGACTGTTCATCCTGACTGGTGAGTGATAGATACACTGTATTTCTGTTAATCGACCTTTTTTTTTGTTGACGGAGTGAAAAATCGCCTCGGATCTCCGGATCCTAGGGCACGCAGTAGCCAATAGTATGTGGTGTTTCCACTAAAATATGATGTGATTTCAAGTCCCACCCGGATCGACACAACACAAAACTAGGCCCTACCCTGAGGGAGACCAGAGGCTTCCCCCCGCCTACCCCAAGATTTTCTCATTATCTCTCTTTCCCATGTCTTAAATACTTTAAGAAGTACCACTCGAACTGAATAATTCAATCTTGAGAGACAGCACTAAAAAATACGAATAGGGATGTATTTTATACAGTAATTTTTAATCTTTCGCGTTCAATAATACATATGTATATAAACGTACGTACGGATCAATTATGTATTTCGGGTATTTTAAGTCAGTGTGACCACGGCCAGTGCAGCTTCGTCAGGAATTTAAATTAATTTATTCGCATTATTACCCGGATAAATACATGAGCACATTTCTATGCATTTTATACTATTGCCATATTTTCTGATGTCAGTTAAATGTAATCTCCATTTTAGGCTATATTGTCGTCATTACGAGCGTACTTTCTCGTCTCCTGAAGAAGAGTTGCTATATTTTTTGGAGAGAGTGGCCAAGCCAGGCTGGCGGTGGCCAGCAAAGCCTCGACCCCCTGAACACCATAAGAACAAACCTGGACACGAACGGCATAACAATGGTAATTGTGACTATCTGATAATTGTTTAGTTAATAATTTTAAACCACTCGTTCTGAGAACCTAATATCTAAAAACTAAATTAACAAGTGAAATATTGCTTCCTGCTGTTTGTTTTCATCAATTTGCAAATAAAATAAATAAATACAATAAAACTGAAATTTATTTTAAATATTATGTCCTGACCGCTTACATTATTATTAACCTAGTGTCGATATAAGAAACCAAATTTTATTTTATTTTGTAATAACTTTTGAGACAAGTATGCATAATTATTAAATATGTATACATAAATGTACATAAAAATTTTATTTGTTGCATACTGAATCACTGAATTACTGAGTCACTGACTGAATATGGCTGATAAATATATATCTTTTTGCGTAATAAATTACGAGAACGGCAATCATTGAATTTAAACTGTCACTTACACTGAATTTAAGCCACATTTTTTCAAATCGAAGTTGTCTGCTAAACATAATACGACCACACTTTTCCGACTACCCTAATAGTCTAGGTACATTAAAACGCCAATGCCAAGCAATAAACAGAGCGCTGTTACACGCTGTCACACAATAGTGAAAACGAAGAAAATAGTCTTACTTTAGTAGTAGTAACTAACTTTTCTAGTAGTTTTATACCAAATAAAAGTAAATAAAACATAAAATTTATGATTAATTGATCTAATATACCTATTTATAATGATAAAATTTTACAGATACATTAATATAAATACTATTAGTCTAGTTTATAACATTTTCACTGCCTCTGGTTACAGCAAGTGTATATTTATGTTGAACAGATCTTTTGATTTGACAGGAACATCAGAAGCAAGAGAAAGGAATAAAATTTCAAACAGTACACCAAGGAACGAATATTACTGTGAGTAGAAGACAGTTAATAAACTTATTATTTATGCAAACTAGTAATGCTATACATGCTAACTTAAGTTGATATCTTTTAAAATACACAACAAACTACAACTTTTCTAAATGTATTCTTATATTTAAAATTGTCTCGTGTGCAGAAATGCCAACATAAATTATTTTTACTTTTGTATTGCCTTATCCAGGTGACCATGGGCTAATGCAAGCCTTGGTATACGACGCAAGAAATACTGCTTGGTTCAACAAAAGTATATCAGATTCTGCATCTGAAGATAAGGCGTAAGTTTGTTATCAATTGACTTACTGCACTTATTTTCTACACACATGTTAAATTTTAACATAAATTATTATGATATTCTTTGAAAAAGAATATATAGTAGAATTTATATCTACTTAATTGTTGTTAAAAGTTAAGCGTTGGTTTCGTAAGAATATATTGATTTACTTTGAATGCATTTCAATACTTTTTCATCCGGATAGCCCATTAACAAAAGTGATTGGATTGTTGCCGAGGTAAAGTATATTTCGAAAAAAATATGTTTTAAATGAATTGTCTGAATGAAAGTCATTTAGAAATGGCAGATATGATTTGTAAAATCTTATCTTAGGATGTTCAGTACTATGCTAATACTAGTAAAAAGTAAAATATACAATAAGAGAAGCTCATTTAGTTACATTGGCCACAACCGTCAAATTTGCATGCTACCAATATTAAAAAAAAATCCCATTGGTCCACTTTGAAACTAAATTCTATAGTTTACTTGCTATAGAATTCAATTTGATGTTGTACCAGATCTATCTGCTAGTGGCTATTCTGTATTATCGATTAAATTTTTTGTTCTGTTCTGGAGTTGTCGTCATAATTTCTTTCTATGTAAGTTTGCAGGCAATGTAGGTAGATATTATACTAAATTCTAACCTATAGAAAGCAGCTTTGGATCGGTTTGTATATATCGTAAGTTCTGAACAAGACAAAATTATCTACTATGTACTATTATTTAAATATTATAAGTTAAAATTTATTCCTATCGCCTTACAAAGTATACGTGCAAGCGTACATCATCTTCTTTTCAAAAAGCATTTGAAACATTAATTAGGTTGTAGTCTTGGCTACGTAATTGGTAGACGATAGCTAAATTTCTAAATACTGCAACTACTTTGTGAGACCTTAGGTTTTAACATGATACACCCCATAAGACGATTCTCAATTTCATTCTTAGTTTTTTTTTCGTTTATGAAATAGAGGGCAAACGAGCAGAAGGGTCACCTGATGAGGGAAAGCGACTACACCCGCCCATAAACGCTTGCAACTCCGGAGTCACAAGCGCGTTGCCGGCCTTTTGAGGAAGGAGGACGCAAGTCGTTGGTTTTATCTTTCCATTATATACTTATCTCTAAGGTATTTGAAATCAAGCTACATTCCTTATGAGCGGAGCACTAACGGTAAACTTGGCTATAAAGGCTAGTTAATAATAAACCTGTAGAGAAGATACTGAAAATTATATACTTATATATATTGTGCGTATATACTATATTGTGCGAGTACAGGCTACTAGGTTTCATAGGTAGTATGTAACAATAAATAGAAATAAAAAATACACCTCAAAATAATCAATACCAGATATAAAACAATTTCGATATTTGTGACAGGACGGAGTTTATTCAGCGTTTTGGGTACATCGTCGCTTTCTTGTCGACTCACAGTGGTCTGACGCGATGGCAGACTCATCCGCCAAGAGAACACGATAGTGATAAGTAAGATTAAGATTATTTAATTTGTATGATTCATTTGCTCCTATTTTGTGATATGTATAAATGTAACAAATAAATATAAATAATAATAAAATTCGTGTGGTAACGGATTAACTATGCATCCCGTAGATAGGTGTCGTAAGAACCAACTAAGGGTTCCTCCCTTGTATAGGACTCCCCTCCACTATGTAGGACAACAGCTCTGCAAAGAGAAGGAAAACTTGATACAAATTCTATACCAACCCGTCGGGCCAGCGTTTTATAGTAAGCCAACACCTCCTTTCTAAGGAGAGGCTTATGTCCAACAGTGGAGTGTGTGAATAAAATTAAATGAACTTCTCAAACGCCATAGATAATGCATTTTAAGTACTAAAAATAATCAGCAAATGAAAATAAGAAGTGTTTTCAACAAAATTCATATTTGGCGTCAAAAGTTTTTATTTTTTTCAGGCCTGAATTTGCAAAGCAATGGCCACGATCTATCGATGAGGTCTGGTACCGTCGGGCTGTGGAACAGCACTATGTAGATCCTCTGAGCTACGTATACAGCGTGGAATTGAATACAGACAAATACCCCCTCAAAGTGAATGAAGCAATGGTCACAGCATCTCATGCAGTGTTCCATGGCGATGGTCATAGAAAAGCCCCTGCCGCTGTTGTAGGCTTTCAGTTCAAACACGAACGGCTTAGCGAGTGGTTTGATAATATCACGTCTTCGGTAAGTAGAATACACTTTTTATTCAAAATATTTGTTTACTGGTTTTCTTTTCAAAATTGTACATTAGCTGTTATATAGACAAAGATTAATCGAACAAAGATAAATTGCTCTGGGAGATAATTTGTTGGTTTTATAATTTGAAATGACTTCTTTGTGTCATAACATGGATATTGAGGACAATAATTATTTATGGAATTTAATTGTCCCAGGCTCCGGCAGTTGTTGCTGACTACTTATATTATCCATAATAGTGTTACAAATCCCTGCAATCGAATATAAAAATTAGACTACCTAATGTCATTTTCAAAGCTTTTTGTTTTAACTACAGTGTGAACACAACAAAAATTGCACCACTTGTCAATCGGAGAACTGGGATTGCTTTCTCGTTGACAACAATGGCTGGATAGTTGTCAGCGAAAATGTCAACCATACGGGACAATTCTTTGGGAAAGTGAGTAGTACACACATACGCACGATTCAACACTAGAATACATGGAATGCCATTTTAGGGCGCACGAGATCGCGATAAAATCCAAAGATTCCTTAAACTGCGATGTTAGTCATGTAATACCTGTTGGAACTCTCGTTCATAATAATATCAAGCAGTATTTAGTACCTACTCTTACTAATTAAATATATCGAAGTAGTCTTCCCGATATTAAAAGTAAATAAGTATCAATAGGATAATTGAGTGTAAACCATGTCTTAACTTTTTTCTGGTAAAAATATTACTGAATTCTAAATGTCTTATCATCACAAATCACCAAACTTCTAATACAAACATACCTCTTTTCACTAATCTACCGGTTAAAAACCAGAAATGAGAAAACCAACCATATAGTAGTAAATTTTACATCAGCTCTGTGTAAGGATGGCTTTATCAACCAAAGCAGAATTTTTAACAAGTCCAACAGGGACAATAAACTGAATACTACCCACATCCAGCTACCAGGACCTTCTAAGCCTGTATTTATCGACGAATCCTTAACAAGCCTTGGGAGAAGGCTCGCGTACCTTGCTAGACAACTCGTTAAAGAGAACCATTACCACAGCACTTGGAACTCGTATGGCAAGATATTCATTAAAAAGTCACAAGAATCAACAACACTGCGCATTGACAGCGAACAAGATTTGAAAAACATGTTTCTGAAATGACCACTATTTAAATTGCTAACACCTAATTTTAGTTATATTTCATTACTATTGTCCAATAAAATGTTCAAACTACAAAATTCATACTTACTCACAACAATAACACATACATCGCCCTTTTATCTCCAACACCACTTACACTACTTACAAAAGACACACACATCAACTAACACACAATTTATCTACACGGTTTATCTTACCGCACTTGCACGTTCACTAACCTTATATCTGTACATAGCCCTGAAACATACATTGTTCGTATATATACATCACATCATACAATTTCTACTATATGTACATGGTCTTTGTAAAAACTTATGTACAAAATCCCTCTATAATAGTAGATCCCACACCTACACATAATCATAAAACATTCACTACAACTACGTATATACTCATGGCAAACCAACAGCTTAATTTATCTGAACCCTGTTTGTCTACAGGAAACCAAAACAGTATTCAATATAAGCTATATTTACTCAATTACATGAATTGCTGTGACATTCTCTTACTCTTTACTAGAAAGGAAAATATATTAATCTTAACCTTTTACCTAGTGCCTTTCTTAACTGTTAATTTACCACAGTTTAGCCACGCAATAATGAATACTCAGGTTATTTACATTGTTACTGTTCATTATTCTCATGCGTATTCCCGTGGCATTAACCGCTTTTTTGACGTAATAGTAAAGTGTATTTATGTCCTTTTGACTTTACTAGAATTTAATTACTTGCAATACCTATATCAAAATTCGATAACATAAATACAGTAAACGGCCTAATTGACCACTTTCAAGTCGCGCAAGCATCAACCTGTGAAATAGAGGAGTGCCCGAAACTAATAAACAACCCACATTTGAACCTAAAAATTATTCAACAAAACATTCGTAGCTTAAATCGCAATATTTCAGGATTTCGAACGCTACTGGAAAGGTCCAATACTGACTGGGATATGATTGTGGTCACAGAATGTTGGTTGCGTCACACACATTATGTGCCGAACATAGATGGTTACAATTATTTAAAAAATGATAGTAGCCTAACGCAGAATGAAGGGGTTGTAGTTTACTTCAAAAACACTATGCGGTTAACTGTACTAGATACTACCTTACTAGATGCAAATTGTTTGACAATTAACTTGGACTCTAATACAACTCTGGTCGCAGTTTACCGTCCGCCGGGATACAAAAATATACAACCGTTTATCGAGTCCTTGGATAAGTTACTTAGTAGTTTAAAATCCACAAATATTATCATCATGGGAGATATTAACATAGATATAATGCCAAATACCAAAGACCCTAACTCATTAACATATCTAAACCTACTCGCCTCTCACAGTATTTTACCGGCACACCAATTACCCACCCACGGCAAAACATGCTTAGACCATGTTATGCTCAAAAGCACACTTCCAGCCAACTGCCATGTCGCCAAGACGTCAGTAACTGATCATGACTGTGTCTTTTTTACACTAAAATACCGCGTCCAGATTGAAAAACCAGTCTCTATTAAGAAAATAGAATACGAAAAATTAGACACTGATATGGAGAACATGTGCTTTGACTCCATCTATGACTCAAGCGACGTTAGTACAGCTACTTCTCTTTTCGTATCTAAGCTTAGCTCAACAATTGAGTCCAACACTAGAACCATCACTGTTTCGAATCGCAAACGTCTTAAAAAACCATGGATGACTCTCGGTCTGTTAAGATGCTTAAAAAACCGGGACAAACTTCACATAAAATGTAATAAAAATCCAAATAATGAAATTATCAAGATAACTTATATTAGGTATAGAAACTTCTGTAACCAGCTGCTAAACAAGGTAAAAACAGACTATGAAAAAGATCTTTTAAACAATGCGGTAAAGACTAACAGCAAAAAGTTGTGGGACACTATAAAAAAAATCACATACTACAACAAAGAATTGAAAACAGCTACTGACCTGTTATCATCTACAAACCCAACAACATCAGTAAATAATGTAAATAGCTTTTTTGCCTCAGTGGGGAAGAATCTAGGCGATAAAATTATACCCAATAACTTAACCATTGAACAGACTGCGGAATCCGCTCATTCTTCATTCGCACTTGCGCCAACCTCTGAAGCAGAAGTTCGCAGTTACATCTTGGGTCTTAAAAAGGTCAATACAACTGGACGGGACAACATCTCTGGATTCTTCCTAAAACGGTACCACAACATTCTCGTGCCACCCTTAACCTATATTGTTAATGCTATGTTTAATACTGGTGTATTTCCCAAGGAATTCAAGCTTGCTGAAGTGATCCCTATCTACAAAAGTGGAGACAGAGCCTGTGTCAATAACTATAGGCCCATTTCGATTCTACCAACAATCTCTAAATTGATAGAGAAACTTTTAAATAAACGTTTAACTAATTACCTGGAAACTAAAAAACTTTTATCAACATCCCAATTTGGCTTCAGAGCAAGTACATCAACTAATGATGCTATCCACGCATTAACGGATCATATTGTGCACAAATTAGATAAAAAGAAAAAAGGCATCTCTATATTCCTAGACTTAGCCAAGGCTTTTGACACGGTCTCTGTCCCACTCCTACTAGACAAGCTGGAAAAATTAGGTATTCGAGGCATACAGCATAAGTTGTTTGCTGATTATCTCACCGACAGATACCAAAGGGTGAGAGTTGGTGATGTCATTAGCGATGACGTACCTATGGAGTTCGGCGTACCGCAGGGCAGTGTACTAGGTCCAACGCTCTTTCTCACCTACATCAACGACCTTTGTAATCTCAAACTTGCTAACGGCAAAATAGTGACCTTCGCAGATGACACTGCGATGATTTTTCATGGAGACACCTGGGAGGACACTTACACCTCCGCACAAATGGGTTTCAACGAGGTGTCCTCTTGGCTCAAGAACAATAGACTAACCCTTAATGTTGACAAGACAAAGTTTATACCTTTCGCTATTAAAAATACTTCACCCAACGTACATGATAACTACTCTATCATAGCCCATTCATGCCTACCCAACCAAACCTGTTTTTGCTACCACCTGGAAAGTGTCTCACACGTTAAATACTTAGGGGTGGTAATTGACAGCACCCTTAACTTTAATTACCATCTAGACCTACTCGCAGCAAGAAGTCGTAAATTAATCTTTATCTTTAAAAATTTGCGTCGCGTAGCAGATAGGAAAGTGATCAATCTGGTTTACATGTCCCTATGTCAGTCTATACTGTCATACTGTATATCAGTGTGGGGCGGTGCATGTAAATCTAACTTGATTAAGGTAGAAAGAGCTCAACGGGCAGTTCTAAAGGTAAGTTACTCACTCCCCTTCTTACACCCAACAAGGGACCTATACCATCTTACCAACGTCCTGACGGTACGCCAACTGTACGTTCTAAGCATAATCATAAGACAGCATTCAATGCTACCTTACGACCCATCACTTACTAATAAACGGCTAAAACATAAAGTAGTCCAAAAAAGTGATTGTCGCAGGACCACAGCTTTCTCTGGTAAATTCTTTGGTTTCATGGGCAGGTACTTATATAACAGGGTAAATGCAATTTTAGACATCTATTGCCTTTCAAAATATCGCTGCAAAAGGGCTATTTCTGACTGGCTGAAAACACTCAGTTATGAGGAAACGGAAAATCTGTTATATGTCCCGCAATAGACAATTATCTAAGATCTATATATCTGGTTCTGTATAAGTATAGTCGTATCTACACATATTGGTGCCATGTATTTCCTTTGTAAATCACTTTCAATCACGCATATCCCACACACACACACACACACACACACACACACACACACACACACACACACACCATACTCACACGCATCACACACACACACACACACATTTTTCCTTCACTTCACTTTGCTTTAGCTCTCACCTAATCAAGTTATACCTACAGGATAACACTTACGCATCTAGTGTCAGGAGAGGCTGGTAATCTGTAATACAGGTGACCTAGTGCAGATACCAGTCTCTCACACAGATTCAACTCACCTATAACTGTGTATCTACTTTAATATGTAAGATATGTCATTCTGTGTGAGAGAAAATAAAAAATACTTATTATTATTATTATTATTAATCTGTACACATACGTGTTTGTGTTCTTACGATAAAGGCAATGCCCTATATAGACGCATTTACTGTGGTATAATTTTTCTTTTGGAACAATCAGAGTTTTCAGAGTCATTCACTTAAGTTATCGTCAGTTAAAATTTCTATAAGAATACAATTAACTTAATTCCTTTGGGTACATACACACCTTAATTACCCAATTAA